ACAGTTGTTTCTCCTTTTTACCCCATTGACACCCTCCTCCCCCTCCCTCCTCACCCTGTCCCCAGCTTTGTTGTCCATGTCCATTGGTCATGCATACGTGCATATAAGTTCCGTGGTTTATCTCTCCCCCCTCCCACCCCCTCCTCTGGGGATTTCCAGTCAGACATTCCTTATAGGAATCTTTTTTTCTAATATTTCTCCTTGGGCAATGGAAACAAAATAAACAAATTAGACTACCTCAAACTAAAAGGTTTTTGCACAGCAAAGGAAACCATCAACACAATAAAAAGAGAACCCACTGAATGGAACAACATATTCACCAATGATACATCTTAGAAGGGATTAATAACCAATTTTTTTTTATCCTCACCTGAGGACATTTTTTGCATTTATCTTCAGATAGAGCAGGAGGGAGAGAAGGGTGAAGAGAGAGAAACATCAATGTAAGAGAGACACATCAACTGGTTGCCACCCACAGAACCCCAACCAGGCTGGGGACAAACAGCAACCAAGGTACATGCAATTAGCAGGAACCGAACCTGGGTCTCTCTGGTCCACAGGCCAATGCTCTAACCACCGAGCCAAACCAGTGGTTATAAATTTATAAAGAATTTATACAACTTAAGACCCCCAAAAAACAAACAATACAATTTAAAAATGGTCAAAGTACCTGAATAAATACTTCTCCAGAGAGGACATACAGATGGCCAATAAACATATGAAAAGATGCTCAAGGAGCATTTGAGATATTGCTCTCTGGCATATGTCCTCAATTTGGTTCAAATAAACTCCTGGAAAAATTTAAAAAATAAAGATGTTCTGTATGGCTAATCATCAGAGAAATGCAAATTAGAACCACCATGAGATATCACCTCACACCTGTCAGAATGGTTATCATCAATAAATCAACAAAACAAGTGTTGGCGAGGACGCAGAGAAAAGGGAACCCTCATGCACTCTTGGTGGGAATGCAGGTTGATGCAGCCACTATGGAAAACAATATAGAGTTTCCTCAAAAAATTTAAAATGGAACTGCCATTTGACCCTGTGATCCCACTTCTGCTATATATTTGAAGAAGCACAAAACACTAATTCAAAAGAATATATGTACTTCTATGTTCATTGCAGCATTATTTACAATAGCCAAGATTTGGAAGCAGCCCTAGTGCCCATCAGTAGATAAGTGGATAAAAAAGCTGTCATACATTTACATGATGGAATACTATTTGGCCATAAAAAATAAAAAATAAAAAAAAGAGGGAAATTTTACCTTTTGCGACAGCATGTATGGACCTGGAGATTAGTATACTAAGTGAAATATGCCAGTCAAAGAAAGACAAATACCATATGATTTCACTTACATGTGGAATCTAATGAACAAAATAAACTAATAAACAAAATAGAAACAAGACTCATAGATACAGAGAACAAAGTGACAGCTGTCATATGGGAAGGGGGATTGGGAGATTGGCTAAAAAAGGTGAAAGAGTTTTTTTTAAAAACCCTCGTAGACACAGACAACAACATGGTGATTAACAGAGGGGTGGGGGAGGTAGAAGAGGGAAAGGGGAGTAAATGGTGATGGAAGGAGATTTGACTTTGGGTGGTGAACACACAACACAATATGCAGATGGTGTATTATAGAATTGTTCACTTGAAACCTATATAATTATATTAACCAGTGTTACCCCAATAAATTCAATTAAAATTTTAAAACTAAAAAATTTAAATAAAGACATGCCTGAAAGGGGGAAAGAGAACCAAGAGTGTATGGTATTACAGAAAGGAAGAAATTCTTTCAAAACAGGGAATACTCTAGTAGGTTGGGCATGGCTGAGCAGTGTAGGTCATCCCACTATCGAATTTGTACGGAAAAGGTATTTTTCTTCCCATCACTAGTCAATGAAGATAGATAAATATGAAAAGCAAAACATAGCAAAGACAAAGATCTAAGAGATAGTAAATTAATTTCTTGTGGTTGGTAAATGATTTAAATTAGTGAGAAGACTGTTAAGCATGGCATATTGAATACATACTTCTATTTCTACTTCATTTAAAATCCCCCTAAAATCATGGTAAAGGAGGGGGAAATGGTGTAAAGAAAGCAAGGACAAAGAAAACGGGAGAGGAGTCACTGTGAAGCAGGGCAAAGGGGGTGTCAACTGATGGACAAGTGACAACTGAATTATCAGAGTGGAGGTTACTATCAGAGTTGATACATAGGTGTCTGCCCTGTAGAACACTGGGAAATTGGAGTCTCCCAAGTATTGTCAAAGGGGAGAGTCAGGCTGAGAGCTAGAAGCAAGGGAACTGGTAGCATATAGACACTCAGGTCCTCATGTCTACAGCATGTAGTGGATGGTAGAATAAAAATGTTGAGAGAAGTCAGGAAGATTAAGTAAATCTAACAAAGTAAGATTAAGTAAGAGCTAACAAAGGCTCTTCCTGACCTGTTCAGCTCCAAAAAGCCTGTAAGAACTGATAGCTCAAGGCAGACAATGAATTGCCCTTTGAGAAAGGAGCTATAGTGATAACTGAGGGGGATCCCCAATAGAAGATGCTGGCTGGTCATCCTGTTGCCCTACACTAAGGTCCACCAGTAAACAAAGTGGGCCAAGGCACATGAAGTTTTAAGAAGGATGGAAAACAATCTGAACAGAAGGAAGGAACCCATTGGGAATGTAAATAATGGAGAGGGCATAATAAAAACTGCACTATAATATGCTTAGCAAGACATAAAAACATATTGAATCCATGAAACAAGAACTGGATGCAATTTTTAAAAAGAACATTTGGAGAATATGAAAGGGCTCATAGTAATTAAAAATATCATAGCTGGAATAAAATGTTCAGTCAAAAGTTTGGGAAATAAAGTAGAGAAAATCTGGAGGTAGAAAGCAAAGATAAATAAATGGATAATAAGGAATAAAAGATCAGATGCTTGACACCGTTGTTCTATTGTACATCTACTGGGAGTCCCAGAAAGAAGAGAGTAACAAAAAAGAAGAGAGAAAACAAAAGGAAAGAGATTATCAAAGAATATTCTCAGAATTGAAATCTATAAGTTTTCAGACTGAGAGCAACCACCAAGAACCCAGCAAACTAAATAAAAAATAACTTAAAACAAGGCACACCATAGTGTAAAAACATCAGGATTCAGGGACAAATAGAAGATCCCAACACTTTCTAGAATGGAACAAAAGAGTCACATAACTAAGAGGGAGCTAAAGAAATACATATAATAGAAAGTCAATAGTTTGTCTAAAATCGATAAACTAAGAAATAATGCAAACATATTATTTAGAACAAGGTTTCAACCCCGCACCATGTACATTGTTGTGGGGGATTGTCCTGTGCACTGTCGGATGTTTAGCAGCATCCTTGGCTTCTACCCACGAGATGCAAATAGCAACCATACTTTCAGTCATGATAGTAAAAGTTGTCTCCATACATTGTCAAATGTCCCCTGGGGAGCAGTTGTGTACTGCCGATTTAGAAAAATGGAGATAAATAGTAGAAAAACAGCTAAGAGAGCGAGAGGTGAGCTCCTGGGGCGGGGGCGGGTGGGCCGGGAGGTCAGGCGGAGGAGTGCCGGCCCTTCCTCAGAGCCTGGTCGTACTGCGTGGTTCTTCGCAGACGTGCAGTTCATTGCTAGAGATCAAATTTGTCTGTTTGTTTTTTTAAGACAACATTAAAGTGACTATATTATTACATATGAAAAAGGAATTCTTTCCCAACTGCTTTTGCTAAAAAGGATTTTTTAATAACATTGAATAAATTAAGTGAATTTTCTAGTTGTCCCAGATGTTTGGCTCAGGCCCCAAAACTGAGAACAAAGGGTATTTATTGCCTCCACATTCTGAAGAAGGATGCCAGACCATCTATGCAAAACTATGAGTGAGACAAAGATTGGTATTAGATTTGGAATGAGGTTTTTCTAGAGAATTTTCTAGAGGGGAAAGCCCTGTGCATTTCCTCTCCATCTAGAGTCTAGGAAAGAAGGAAGAGCTGCAAGAGTACTCAGAGCACTGGATATGTATCCCCTGGAGTTTGTGAGAACTGTTGCCTAATTCTTGCAAGAAAAAAAAAAAAACTGCAGATAAAAGGGTGTGAACTGCCTACGACAACAGAATAAAGAGAGGGCTGTCCGGTGGGCATGGCTTGCACTCCCAAATTTTCTTGGGTGAGGTGCCAAGCTTTCTCTTTGGATAATAGGGTGCCCGGCAGGTAACCAGGCTTGGCTCATTTGAAAGGTACCTACCCAGCCTAGCGGGTGTGGCTCAGTGGATTGAGCATGGTCCCATGGACTGAGAGGTCCCGGTTCGATTTCTGGTCAGCACATGCCTGGGTTTCGGGCTCGATCCCTAGTTGGAGGGTGGAGGGGCAGCTGATCGATGTTTCTCTCTCACATGGATTTTCTATCTCTCTCTCCCTTCCTCTCTCTCTAAAAAAAAAAGTCAATAAAAACATATCTAAAAAAAAGAGAGAAAGAAAGGTGCCTACCCAAAGAAGACCACCTACAGATGAGCATATACCAACAGAAAGGACGTGGAAGCAGCGTAAGAACCTGGAACCTGTAAAGGCCAAGGTCAGGGGAAGGAGGCTTTACATTGGCTAGGGAGTGGTAGAATGGGAGTTCCTTATTGAAAAGGGGTCCCCAAAGGACCCACAAAACACCCCATTAAAGAAACAGCCAGCATGTGGGCATCAACACCAGATTACAACTGTGCCAGTCAAATAAGACTTCCTGCCCTTATCTAAATTGGGAAAGAATCAACCAGAAAAAAAATCTACCTCCTGGCGAAGAGATGACAAGGGAAACTCAGCCTGGATTCTCTAAGCCCAAAGGTGGGATTACTAGTAGGTTCCGGTGGAAGGGCGGGCCAGTTACGACACTTTTGCTCAAGTTAATGCGGTTTTCACTTGTCCATCAGAGAAATACATATAAGCCTCTGTTTTCTAATGACCTCCCTGTTTCTGTTTGGTGTTTAATCCCACAGGTCTAGCCTTCGCGATGCTGGCAGCTGTGCCCCCGGTGTTTGGCCTGTACTCTTCGTTTTACCCTGTTATCATGTATTGTTTTTTTGGAACCTCCAGACACATATCCATAGGTAAAAGCTTAAACTTGATATTCTAGTACCCCCAAGATTTCTAGAACTAATAGCTCTCTTATAATCTTGGCACAATGAAAAGAAAGAAAAAAAAGACAACTTTCTTGTCTAAAAAAGAGCAGTTGTTAAAATCTGTGAAGTAAGTGCTTTAGTTCATAATACAATTTGCTTGCATCTGGCTTTTCTTTTTATATATTTTATTAGTGGTACTGAAAGTTCCTAATTACTGCACATGTATTGCATTTGCATCTGATTTTAGGCTCTGCATTGTACATGGATTCCCTTTTGTGTATTAGGATCAGATTTATATAAATTTCACAATCGTGTTGGTGCTGCATGAGGCTGTCCCCAGCAAACAAGGCACAGTGTTTCAGATGTCCATTCCTAAGTAACAAATACCCCTCAAATTTAGCAATTTAAAACAGAAATCATTTCATGCCTCACAGTTCCTGTGGATTAGGATTTGGGAAAGGCTCATCTGGGCAGTCTAGCTCAGGGACTCATGCAGTTGAGTCAGAAGGAAGCCTGAATCTGTTTCTCTCTCTCATTCCCTCTCCCCCTCTCCTCTTCCCCTCTGCTCCCCCTCCTCTCTCCTCTCCCATGTGGTCCTAATTGGACCTTTCTCACACTCGGGCTCCAGCACAAGCAAGTGTAACAGCTCTCAGGTGGAAACTGCATCACCTTTTGTTACCTAGCCTCAGAAGTCCGCAGTGTCACTCCTGCTGCATTCTTTTGGTTACTACTATGTCACAAGTCCACCCAGATTCAAGGAGAGGGGAATTAGACTCTCTCTCAATGGGGAAATGTCAAAGTTGTAGAAGAGTCTGTGGCATGGAAGATACTATCATGGTCACTTTTGGAGAATACAACCTGCACTCACACAGTTTACAAATAAACCAGGAGCAGTGGTTTAATGCTTAAGGAGAACAGTGCAATTTTATTTCACTGATGAGTTATTGACTTCACCTGTGTTCTCTAGCGTGCTGGCAACAATCACATCAGATACACTAAAAATGATTTCCTTGATTACTGCTTCATTATTTCAGGTCCATTTGCTGTTATTAGCCTGATGATTGGCGGTGTGGCTGTTCGATTAGTACCAGATGATATAGTCATTCCGGGAGGAGTAAATGCAACCAACGGTACAGAAGCGAGAGATGCCTTGAGAGTGAAAGTCGCCATGTCTGTGACCCTACTTACAGGAATCATTCAGGTAAGATTCACAGATGGGGAAATGGGATCTCATTTGTTCGTTTCATAAATATTTATTGAGCACTCTGGGCTTGTCTAGAAGGTGGGTGGGATCAGTTTGCAAGAACCCAGAGCTCAGAGTTCAAAGCACTCAAGAACACCAATCCAACTATATGCCTTACTTAGGGTCATATTTTTTTAGGAACTAGCAAGCCTCAGCTGGGTACTACAGAAATTCCAAAAGCAAGAAAATCTTGAAGCAGAATTGGTTAGTAATGGGAAGAGGGCTTCTCTTATCTGCTTGGAAGGAACAGGGAATGACGATGACTCAGTGTGTCCCCAACGCTCTTTGGGACACTGAGTCACTCCAGACCTTCCAGTGTTTATTGTGTAACCAATGATGGATGTGTTGGCTGCTTCACTGCTGCAGGTGCAAGTCGGTAGTGTCAGAAAGTGGTCCAGAAAGAAATTTGTATGTGTTCTGTTGGTTTTAACTTCCTGATATATCATGTGATTTATTTGTTTCTTTGTCATTAAAAAAAAAATAGTTTTGCCTAGGTGTCTGTAGGTTTGGATTTGTGGCCATATACCTGACAGAGCCCCTGGTGCGCGGCTTCACCACCGCGGCGGCCGTGCACGTCTTCACCTCCATGTTAAAATACCTGTTTGGAGTTAAAACCAAGCGGTACAGTGGGATCTTTTCAGTGGTGTATGTAAGTAAGCAACTTACTGGTACTAGTTTTTCCTTCTTTATTTTTTCTCCTTCTCTTCTGTATCTCTTTTACCTTCAGGGTTCACTTTTCTCTTTTCTAAGAATTTTAATAAAATGGAAAAGATTCAGTTATTCTAAAACAATTTTCTGAAAACAGCACTACAAAGGAATTAAATCTTAAAGTCCTATTTTATTAATGTGTAATATTGTCTACCTTACAAGGAATTTTCTGTTAGGTTTTTATTTGGGGGCTATACCTTCACCCTAACTGGATGAAAAGACAGGTTTTTCTCAAGACAGATTATGTTCTCTTTGGGAACTAACAAATAATTTAAAGACATTATGGGATCATCTATCTCAAGAACTGCTTACTCAAGCAGGCAAAAAAATAAGTCTATAAAAGATTTGACTAACAAAATTGACCAGTTTAATCTAATAAAATATACGTAGATCCTTGCACCCAACTTAGAGAAAATATAAATTCTTTGTACGTACATAGAGAACAGTGGTAACAACCGATCATGTTGAAACTTACATGTAAAACTGATCACAAATTCTAAGTTTAGTATTTTTACACACAGTGTAGTGTAATTAGTAATCAATAACTATGTATAGCTTTAAAACTCCATATATTTATAAACAAACAAACAAAAAAAACCTCTAAGTAATCCATGGATAAGGGAAATTTTGAAATAATTAGAACCAAATGACAGGCAAAGTACTACATATTAAAACTTCTGAGATGCTGCTAAAGCTGCTCTTGAACAGAAAGACCTATAGCCTTTGTAGGTATTTATGTGCCAGACACTGTGCTAGGCACAGCAGTGAATGAGCAGATATGGCCCTTGCCCTCTTAGAACTTACAGTCCAATGGGAAGACAACTAGTAAACCATTAATTGCATAAATGTGTAATTAATTACAAATTGTGTTCGATGCTATGAAGAAAAGGCACTGGCTGCAATGAAAGTTTAGATTAGGGGTCTAGGAAAGTCACTCTGAGGAAGTGCTGTTTAAATTGAGTCTTTGGTGGATTAGAATGGAATCAAACTGTAGGAACATTCCCTAAATAACTCTGTCCTTCATTTCCCATAATACTGGTAACATGCTTCTTACTCTGAGATTTCTCCAAATGCCTTGTCACACAGGAAATAGAACAGACAAGCGTCTGAGAATGCTGTAGGCATTACCAGGAAAGTTGTGTGGCCTGTGCTCAATGGTAACCTACTTTCCCAGGGTCCAGATGAATATTGACAGTATTTGGGGTACTGAGATTGCAACCCTAGCATAAAATTAAATGGCTTTCTTTAACTGTCCTGGGCATCTTTTCAAACTTCAGCACCCTCTTGCCTTCAAAGCCTACCTGATTCTTCTTTCATCTGCTGACAATGATTTCTCCCTTTCAGCTCTTGAAAACTTTTCTGTGTTTACCTTTGGATTGTTTTGCTGGTATCGGCCCTTAATCCTTTCCTAATACTCAGGACTCAGTACAAGAGTTACTATTCTGAATTTTATAATACTACATTAACACATTAGCATATCAAAGAACACTGTAAGATTGTTGCATAAGAATTACAACTTTAAAGTTGTGTAACTAGGTAAAAATGGTTCCTAATTGGTGGAAGCTACAAAGAGGGAGACTTCAGCCTGAGAACTGTTGACTAGAGTGTCCAGCACGGGGATGGCTGTGTGAATTAGTGCACTAGAGTTCTCTGTCTGTTCAGGGCTACTGCCTGATGTAAACCCCCAGTGTTCATGTGTTACAGAGTACAGTTGCTGTGTTGCAGAATGTTAAAAACCTCAACGTGTGTTCCCTAGGCGTCGGGCTGATGGTTTTTGGTTTGCTGTTGGGTGGCAAGGAGTTTAATGAGAGATTTAAAGAGAAATTGCCAGCACCCATTCCTTTAGAGTTCTTTGCGGTAAGTCAACTTTCAGCTATTGCTATGAGGGATGCAGAAGTGGACATGGGGAGGAACAGGGAGGTAGACCTTTTTCTTCTCAGTTCTGCCAAGAGAAGGTTAATATTTGTCAAGGGGAACTTTTACAAATACACTGACAAGAAAGAAAAATCCTTAGAGCATAGAATGGGTGACTTTTAAAATATAGGTAAAGACTGTTCGTAAATATGTTAATATGAATTATCTATGAGTGATGCGATTAGGAAAGATTTTTCTTCCTCAATGTTGTATTGTCTAATTATTTTATAATGAACACGTAGAAGTTTAATAATCTGAAAATTTAAGCTGTTTCAATTTTGAAAAGAGCAAAAGACAAAAGTTCCCAAACTTTCTTGGTTCCTGGCACTCCTAGGCCAAAAGAAATACCTGAAAGTTTTATTCAGTAAGTAGTTAGATCCAAACGACTTAATACATATTTATGTCTAACAACTTAGGAACTGTTTGTGAAAATAATGCACATAAACTGAAATAAAATATATATGTGTTACATTGTTAAATAACCACAGTTATTTATTAATGGGACCTGAGCAGCTGGTAGGCGCTTCACAACTCCTCACACCGTAGAGTCAGATGGACACTACTGCCCTCATTTCCTATTCACTTTGATTTTGCACTGTAACTGCTTTTTACTGCAGCAACCACCGAATGCCCAGCTTTGCAAAGATGTAGTGTGATCAAAAGGAAGGTAGTAGGAACTGATGTGTAAACTCCTCAAACTAGAAGTTTACACAGTGGCTGACAGATGTCACTGTTTTCCTTGAAAGTTGTATCCCACAGTGTCCTGGTGAGTTCCCCTTGGCACCCTGGGGCACCTTGGTGCACAATTTCAGAACCATAAGAATAAAAAATAAAAAGTATAGATGTCTGACCCAAATTTAGCCAAAAGTTTTAGCCACAAAAACAACTAGCCAATATTATAGCGGAAAGCCAATCTCTTTGATCCTTTTCTGTGCTGTGGTCTTGTCTATATCCCAACAGGACAGTCTCTAGCTGTTTCAAAACCTGTTCCCTCACTGGGCCTGGGCACAGAGTCCCTGTTTCCTCTTGGAGTACAGCAAGAGGGTCTCATCTTCTGCGCATGGCAAGGAACACAGGCAGGGCCTAACTGTGAAGTAATGGTGCAGATGGCCTCTCCTGGCCTGGGTCCTGTTCTGTCCCTTTCCAGGTTCCCTTTAACAGATTCCCTCATGTTTCCCAGAGCAATGGTTCTCCAGAATTTTATCATTGTAATTTTAGTAAACCAGTGTTTTTCTTTTGTTATTTTTTATTTCTTATCTAAGTTCTCCTCAGAGCAAGGGAGAGAAAAGCCATACTGGAAAATTAGGGACAGTCTTTAAACATAAAATTTTTTTTTGAATTTTTTGTTTTTGTTAATCCCCACCCAAGGATATTTTTCCATTGATTTTTTTTAATAGAATGGAAGGGAGGGAGGGAGAGAGAGAGAAATATCGATATGAGACAGACATATCAATTGGTTGCCTCCTGCACAACCCCAACTGGGGCCAGGATTGAACCGGAGACCCTTCGGTCCTCGGGCTGATGCTCAAACCTCTGAGCCAAACTGACCAGGGCCATAAAATTTATTTTTTATTATAAAAACATTTTTGAATTTTGCATTCTGTTTCATAATATGTCTGTTTGTGTTGATAGGAAGGCAGACTTTAAATTATTTACAACTGCATAAAGTTGGTGCTCCAGAAATTTAAGCCATATTTATCCTGAGGATTTGAATATTCTGGGCACTCCCCCAGTTTGAGATGCATGACTAATACAATTAAGGGAGACAGACATAATTGTGACCAACACAAAGGAGCATTTTGTCAGCGGGGCCAGAGCACCCGGGGACTTGGTCTGTCGGGCTGCTGTGTCGGGTAAGCTCACCTCATCGTGGGTTCCCCGCAGCAGCCACCGTGAGGGACCCTTCCCTGGACAGCCCTCATTTCTTCTCTCCTCAACGGCCCGCTCAGAAAGCTCTGCAGCTATAGATTCTTTGGATGAAGAAAATTATTATCCTTCCTTCTGTTATTTTTCTCTTTTTGTAGCTCACTAAGGGTTGTACTTTACACGCCAACTAAAAGATGCCCTGGCGATCTAGGAAGCTTATGTACAATCACACGTGTGTGTGATGGGCACTTTCATTCTGACCCTGACTGAATTGGGAGGAGGCAACCACAGCGAATCTAACCACACATGGTACTGCTGTCCTAAAAATGGGGCAGCAGGAGGATTGCAGATCCAAACTTACATTTTATGATGATACACTCATCGTACCACCCTCACAATACCCACTTCAGTGACCTTAGTTCATGCCATGTTATCAGAAGTGCATTTCACCTGGCCCACACGCACAGCCAAACCCTGAAAGTTTTATAGCCGTCAACTAGCCAAACGCCTCAGCAAGAAACAGACCAAAATAAAGAGAAAAGAATTCCAGGCCACAAGGAAACTGTAGAGTCCATTTTAATTTTGTGGGGAAAGTCATTAGGAGACTTTAGAATTGCTGGAAGCTAACTATAATTCTTCTTTTTAAAACTGAAAGTTAAAGGAGAATAGATTTGGCTTAGCTAACACATTGTTTGAAGCTCATTTTTGTGGCATTTGTATTTTCATCTGTAAAAGACGTTTGGGTTTGTGTCTGTTTTAGGTGGTAATGGGAACTGGCATTTCAGCTGGGTTTAGCTTGCATGAATCCTACAATGTGGATGTCGTTGGGACTCTGCCTCTGGGGTAGGAACATAGTTTTAAGTAACAGTGTGACTTGAATAATCAATTAATGGATGTGTTATGGTTTCTAACTCCCCCTTTAGTATTCCTGCAATAAAAAAACCTTTTTTTCTTCATATCAAATAGCTGAGGGTTTGGGGGGGGGGGTCGATTTTGTTGTGTTTTGTTTGTTTGTTGTTTTTAGCATGTGCGTGGGGTTTTTATGTCGTTGTTGTGGTGGTAAAAAACATAACAATATTTACCATTTTAATTACTCTTAAGTGTGCAGTTCCGTGTTGTCAAATATATTCATATTGTTGTGAAACGGATCTCCAGAACCTTTTCATCCTTTCATCTGAAACTACATGGCCATGAAACAGTAACCCCCACTCCCTTCCCCTCGGCCCCTGGCAGCCACCATTCTGCCTTTGGGTCTCTGTGAATTTGACCACTGTAGTACCTCATATCAGTGGAATCACACAGTATTTGTCTTTTCGTGACTGGTGTATTTCACTGAGCAATGACCTCAAGGTTCATCCATGTGGCAGCACGTGGCAGGATTTCCTTTCTTGGTAAAGCTGGATTAAATTCCACGGTATATGTGTCCCAACTTTTGTGCATCCATTTGTCCATCAGGGCACAGCTGTGCTGCGTCCAGCTCTCAGAGGTTGTGAGTAGTGTTGCCGTGAACATGGGTGTGCAAATACCTCTGCAAGACCCTGCTTTCAGTTCTTTTGGGCCTGAGATTGCTGACTCGTCTGGTAGTTCTATTTTTAACTTTGTGAGGAACCCCCAAACTGTTTTCCATTGTGGCTGCACCATTTTACAGTCGCACCAACAGTGGCATGTGGTGTTTTGTTTTGTTTTGTTTCCTATTGTTTAGCACTTACTGGTGACATAGGAATTAAGAGCAAAAAGATCTAAATCTAGCCTGCCACTTTCTAGCTTTGTGACCTTGGGCAAGTCACATATCCTCTCAAAGCCTCGGTTTCCTCTCCTGCCAGGTAAGCATGGTCATTCACACCTATCTCAAGGGCCACTGAGAAAGCCACCGGAGATGAAGTACGAAAAGCAGTTAATGTAGCACCTGGCAGACATTGTAACTGTTCAAGGTGCAGTAATTGAAAGTGCTGTTGCTCATTATTTCAATAGCTTTTCTAGTTTCAAATCATATATTACTTCTTCACTTCATTTGTTTAATCTAACTCTTTACATTTTTTCTATTTTCTTTATTTAAAGGCACAAGAGTAACTATGAGCCTTTCCTGGTCTCACTCTGTTCTGTCTGACACTCTCTGAAAGTCTCTGTGTCTCTATCTCTTATACTGTCTGTCTCACCACCCTCTTCTCTTTCCAAAAAAAAAGTCAAACATTTGCCCTGGTATTGGAGGTTAACAGAACCTGGCATATCCCATCAGACCGTCCTCTAGCCCCATCTAAGAATCGTGTGGGAAGCAGAGGGAGCAGGAGTTGCTCTTTAAGATAAAGTTCACCCCACAGAGCAAGTGCTGGAAGAGGAAACTCTACTTCAAGACAAGCAATTGCTATCATGACCATGCTGCTTATGATTCCAGTATCACACCACAGAATGCTTGCTTTTCTATTTGGGCATGTGATTTATAAATACTACTCACCATTTCAGTAGCTGCTCACAATAACACTATTGATATATATGTTATCCCCATTTTACAGATAAGATAGTTAATTTATTAGCATGCATTTATTGAGTGCCTATTATGTGCCACAGCACAGCAGCTAAAAACAAAAGCAAACATGTAAGCAAAAATGTCTTTGGTCTCATAGACCTTATATTCTACTGCGGGAGACAAGTAGTAAGAAGTTCTATAAAGAAAAGGGAAGCCAGCCCTGGCCGATTTGGCTCAGCTATTAGAGCTGTTAGACCCGTGGTCCAGAGAGACCTGGGTTTGGTTCCCGCTAAGGACACGTACCTCGGTTGCAGTTTGTCCCCAGTTGGGGTTATGCAGGAGGCAGCCACTCGATGTGTCCCTTTCACGTCGATGTTTCTCTCTCTCTCTCTCTTCCTCTCTCTCCCTCTCTTCCTCTCTCTCCCTCCCACTCTATCTGAACAAAAATGGAAAAATGTCCTCGGGTGAGGATAAAAAAGAAAAAGAAAAGGGAAGCCAGGTAAGGGATAGGAGGGGCTGGGTTTGCTGTTTTAGGTAGAGTATCAGAGAAGGCGACATTTGAGAGACATGAATGAGATTTGGTGACTCAAGGTGAGTCCCAGTCTGGATCCAGAACTCAATCTTCCGATACTCGCTTGTGTGCGCTTTCCATTACCTCATACCTGAGTCACTAACACAATTAGTCACGTGATAAACAATGGTCTTTGGATCCAAGAGATAACCCTATTGAATAACTAATCACAGATAATTACATTAAATGTGAATTCTTATACTTAGAGTTTTTTTTTTAAATTTGAATGCCACCATAAATTCTAATACTTCTCCTACTGTACTATACCCAAATATGCTTTCCTTCTATAGGAGCTAACGTTTTTCTTTTCTAAATAACATTTAACCTTTCTGAAACTTGGCTACCCAGAAAGCTTATCTTTCTGGAATTTTGCCCAAAACCAAGTAGGAAACAAATAATGCCTCTCTACCTTCTATCTGTGTATAATTCTACTGTTTCAGTTATCTGTGAGTCGTATTGCCAAATAACAAACAGCTCCAAAACAGTGGCTTAAAGCAGCATCCATTTCTTTGCTCACAGTTCATCTATCCAGGTAGAACTTAGCTGGTGGTTCTTCTGCTGGTCTCACCTGGGGTCTCTCGTGCAGCTGTAGATGTCTGAAGGTGTGCCGGGGGCTGGAGGATCCAAGCGGGTTTCACTCACATGTCTGACACCTTAGCTGGAGGACAGGAACTGCTGAGGGCTGCTGGCCTCTTCTCTCCACCTGGTGTCTCCAGCAGGGTGGCCAAACTTTACACGTGGCTCAGGGCAGGACAAAAAAGCAGAAGCTGCCAAGCCACTTAGAGCACTCACAACACATCACTTTCACCACGTTCTGTTAACAAAGCAAATCACAAGATTCAGCCAGAGGAGAAACAGATTCAACCGTCGACTGGGAGAGCAGCACACACAAGAAAGGAGGAATTATTGGTCATATTTGAAAGCAAACTACCACACATATCTACACACACACACAAGTACACACACACGACAGTGTCCAGAAAGTGACAGTTGACTATTAAAGATCCCAGTTGTGGCAATATATTCTGTTTCTTGGTTTACTTACCTTAATTCATTCCAGAATAAATCCTTTTCTCATATTCTTATTCTTCTGACCCACAGCTGCCACCAGGTCTTCCCTCTTGGTTAACACTTATGCAGCAAAATGCAAGGGAAAGACTGTATGTTTTATGGGCAGACCCCCTCGGTTTGACTCACTGCTCCATCTTGGGCAAATTACCTGATATCTGCAGGCATCCATTTGTTTTATCTGTGAATTGGAATAATAGTGGTGCTTTTCCAATAGGATTGTTGTGAGGACAAATGAGATGACATGTAGCACATAATCCAGGCTTTATAGATGTTAGATTTTTTTTCTCTCTCCCCTCCCTTTCCCTTACACCAGAACTTGAGAATTTCCTTTGTCACTGTGAGATGACATAGTAAGAGAAATAGGCATGGGGAGGTGGGTTCTTCATGGTTTTTGTTGTACTTAGTTGATGAGCTGTTTGACCTTGGCCAAGTTGCTTACCCTCACTATGTCTCATTTTTCTCATCTGGAAAATGGCCGTTATAATGATGCCTAGCTCACAGGGCTATTGGAGATAAAGAAACACAGAACCTGGCACAGAGGAAACACCTAATAAATGATTGTTACTATAAGAATAATAATGTTGTGCATCAATTAATTAATTGTTGTTATTATTTAGCCCAATGCCTTGAATTGGAGCAGATGCCTTTGAAAACCTATATCGCGCCCTCTCCCCATACTATTCTAGGGAATCCATATTTTTTTTTCCTTTAGGACAGTTTCCAACCTATAAGAATGGACCACAAAAACTAGGTTGCCCATTCTGAGGCTTTAGGAGTCGCATTTTTGCCCCCCTCAGACTCCCAGAATTCCCAGATGAGACCCACGGAGTATAATTTGCTGCTGCTCTTTTCTCATGTTAGAAACTCACCTAAGGGGATCCTGGGAAGAAGCAGAATCCTTATGTGAAATAACAAGAGAGAGCAGCGAGTACCTGCTCTTGCTCTGACAGTAATTCTCTAAGATGACCTTTGTTCGACACCCTCCCTGCCTCAGACTTTGGTTCGAATGTCTTGTGGTATGAGAGCACTCTCTACTTCCTGTTCTGTGTCTTACACCTGCCACACAGGTGCCATGAGGTATGAGGTTACTCCTTTTCTAAATAAAACGGCATCTGATCTCTGCTGATAACCCATTCAGGTAGAAAGCTGGTACCCTGGGGTTTGGGCCTGGAAAGAACCTCTTTGTTTCCAGGAGAGCCCTCTTTTTGCCAGCTAGAGCAAACAAGTATCCAAGTATTGATCACCCCCTTTGCAAATAATGCTCCTCTGAAATGCTCCCCATTAGTCGCATGCTTGTTCCCAGTGGTCACAGCACTTTGAGTTAATGTCAACTTGATCTTTCAGGCTACTACCTCCAGCCAATCCAGACACCAGCCTCTTCCATCTTGTGTACGTGGATGCCATTGCTATAGCCATTGTTGGGTTTTCAGTGACTATCTCAATGGCCAAGACCTTGGGAAATAAACATGGCTACCCGGTTGATGGCAATCAGGTAAAAATCATTCATTTCCTGCAGATGTTTCATGTGATGCAATCGTCATACTCTGCTATGGAAGGCAAATGAACTTGGTTACACTGTCGTGGTAGAAAAACTTGTAGTTTGATGGTGGGTGTATTTGAAGCATGAATTTATTCAACATTACAAATTTTTTATAATTTATGTGGATTAGATCATTATAACACTGAGGTACAGAGTCCTACCTCATCCCATAGGCAGAGGTCCAGCTAGAAAGGTGAAATCTCCAATCTAAGGTTTACAGTTTGCCATACTCCTGTTGCTGTTATTTTTTCTATTTTTTAAATTACAGTTGTCATTCAATAGATGTTATCACATTTTAAAGCTCACAGATTGAGAATAAAATATTTTTCCAGAACCATTTTTACTCCATAGAAGCCTTCTCTTTGAATATACGATTCATCACTCAAACACCACAATATATTCTTTGCCAACTTCTTTTATAACATAGCTACAGATAAAGTTTTTAATTCGAATACCATGAGCTGTAATTTTCACATGACAACGTCTGTTTTACACACTGAGTGTTTCTAAGAGGAGACTAGCTCTGCACAATCATATGAAGCACCGTGACCAGCCAGGAAGGCGGGGTAGCCCGCGAGCAGGACTTACTGGCTGTCCCGGCAGGACCCTGGCATGTACTCGTGATGAGCAAGAGCCAAGCATTTGAAGGATGTCAGTACTCTACACTGTAATCCTATATACCTTAAACAACAGAAATATTTTATTGCTTTTGTTGCAGTGTTTTGTTTTGTTTTTAAAAAAAGGCATTATTTGGCCCTGGCTGGTTTGGCTCAGCGGTTAGAGCGTCAGCCTGCGGTCCAGAGAGACCCGGGTTCGGTTCCCGCTAAGGGCATGTACCTCGGTTGCAGTTTGTCCTCGGCCCTAGTTGGGTCGTGCGGGTGGCAGCCACTCGATGTGTCTCTTTCATGTCGATGTTTCTCTCTCTGTCTCTGTCTCCCTCTCACGCTAACTGAACAAAACAAACAAACAAAAATGTCCTCAGGTGAGGATTAAAATAAAAAAGGCATTATCTGTACAGAGTATTTGGGAAAGAGGGGGCTGAGTGCAGCACTTTATCTCCAACACTAGAAATTCAAAGTGCTTCCCTCCCACCTTAAATTACGTCATGATTCCTGTTTTGAGCTCATACTAAACAAATTCTTATATCAGAAAAAAGAATGAAGAAACAGCCTATACTGCTGAAAATGTGTATCACGTGGGCTCCGCGCCTTTCTTTCTGAAGCATAACCGATCTTTTTTGTGCTTTGTTTCCATGTGGAAAAGGAGCTCATTGCACTGGGACTGTGCAATTCCATTGGCTCCCTCTTCCAGACATTCGCAATTTCATGCTCCTTGTCTCGAAGCCTCGTCCAGGAGGGAACCGGAGGGAAGACACAGGTATGTAACAACTGGCCTCGCAGGTGATTTGGGTGGTAATTAAATGTTAATCCCTTGGTTCTAGTCTGAATCCAAAGCTATTCTGCCTGAATATCTATGCTCCAGTGAGCTGTGCAGTGAATCAGAGAAAGGTATGAATGATTGAAGCAAATCACAAGGAACTAAATCTATAGGAAAGAGGTATATTCTCCAGTTAAATTGAAAAAGTATACAATACACCCTGCTACCAGTAAACCTCAAAGTTGACAGAAGATGTTGTCATGAAAGCCTGAGAACTTTCTGTTCCAATTGAACTTTCTGCAGTGATGGTAATACAGTATTCAATATTTGCACCATTCAGTATGGCAGCCACTAGCCACAAGTGGCTCTTAAGCATTTAAAATGTGGCTGGTGCTGCCAAGACCTGAATTTTGCACTTTATTTAATTTTGACTTTTAAATTTTAAATAGCTACATATGTCTGAACAGCAAAGTCTTATCTGAATTTTTCTGGTCCTCGTGGGTCTCAGATCTGCACCAGACATCTCCTTTTCCCCACCCCCGGCAAGAACATTTCAGTCAGGGTGTTTAAGCATTTCAGCTTCTGTTTAAAAGCTATAAGAAGAACCAAAACTTCAGAGAATTGAGGAGTTATAGGTTTATGTAATGGTTTGGGTGACTTATCTGGATCCATATTTTCTTGTTTGTTTGTTTTTAATAATTATTATTGTCCAAAAGTAGACTATTTAGCCATATGAAGGAGTTCCATGTTTTCTTGAATATCCCCCATTGATTATCTAAGACTAACCTATGCCGGCCTCTTACTAGTCTCCTAAAAGCCCCTTCCATGTGTCTTGTCTCATGCAGCTTGCAGGTTGTTTGGCCTCGTTAATGATTCTGATGGTCATATTAGCCACCGGATTCCTCTTTGAATCATTACCCCAGGTGTGTAGCTTGGACTTGGTGTGAGGTTTTTCCTTGTGTACAGATTTTGCTATTTTATTTGTTTATGTTTTTGTGGCTCTCTCACGGGTTTTTGCTGTAACCCTAGCAGAGTGGTATGAGAAAGGGCCAAGGCTAGGATCAAGATCCTGCTCCACAATCTACTGGCAACTGGGACCTTGGGAAAGCCATCTCAACATCTCTGGGTCTCAGTTCATCTGCAAAGTGGGCATTTGGGCTGGCTAATCCCCATGGTCTCTTCTCTCTTTGATCTTCTCCGACCTTCTACTTCCATTTAACATCTGAGATGGCCTACACTCATGAAATTTGTTTACCGATATATTTAATCTAGTAGAGATCAGGAATAATACGGAGTAGAGAAAATCATTATAGAAAGACCATGGGTGAAATAATTCCTGAGTACCAAATTTAATTCTGAACCTCTTGACTACCATGCAGGTTTGCTGCTAAGATATAAACCTGGTTTTCCAAGGTCCATTTTAGCTAACCAAGTCCTGAAAATCCAGGTGTTCATGGCTCCAAATGTACCATCACTGCCCCGTAGGAAGTGAATGGGGAGAGGACGTGGGGAGGGCCCAGGAGGACAATGAGAAGCCAGCAAAGGGGGCTATTCGGACGCAACGGGAGAGGCAAGCGTGGATGTGCTGTGTTTCAGGCTGTGCTGTCGGCCATTGTGATCGTCAACCTGAAAGGAATGTTTATGCAATTCTCAGATCTCCCCTTTTTCTGGAAAACCAGCAAAATAGAACTGGTAAGTAACAACAGTGATTGTTAGGTGATTATGTCATAGCAACACATGGATTAGTGCTGATAAAAATGTGAGGGAGAGCCCTGGCCGGTTTGGCTCAGCGGTTAGAGCGTCTGCCTGCGGTCCGGAGAGACCCGGGTTCGGTTCCCGCTAAGGGCATGTACCTCGGTTGCAGTTTGTCCCCGGCCCTGGTTGGTCGTGTGGGTGGCAGCCACTCGATGTGTCCTTTTCACATCGATGTTTCTCTCTCCCTCCCACTCTGAACAAAATATCAAAAAAATGTCCTCAGGTGAGGATGATAAAAAAAAAAAAAATGTGAGAAAGATAAGTTAGTGCAGTCCATTGCTATATGCAGTATCCAGTTAGGCAAGGTGTGTGTGTGTGTGTGTGTGTGTGTGTGTGTGTGTAACTCTAGAGAATTTTTAACAGGATTTTCCATAAAGCTTTCTGTTTTTTTGTTCAGACCATCTGGCTTACAACTTTTGTTTCCTCCTTGTTCCTGGGATTGGACTATGGTTTGATTACTGCTGTGATCATCGCACTAATGACAGTGATATATAGAACACAGAGGTGAGTGCATAGATTGGGATGGATTTAAGTGTCCTGCCTGAGATTCAGTGTTGACTTTAAATGGATTATATTTGTTGGCAGACTGTGAGCATCTTGATTGTGGAGGCAGTATTCCTGGAGTCCAGTACCAGGCATCTAGTGTATTCTCTGAATGTTATTGAGGGAATCCACCCAGAAAATCAGCTAATATTTGTATTGTATATTCTAACCCACAAAGCACTTGTATCTACATGTTAAGAAGCACCATGTCATAGTAGCAAGACCATGGAATGTCAGATCAGAGACCTTGAGATGTGTTCTGGCTCTCAAAGCTCTCTGACTTTGAACAACTTGCCTAACCTCACTGGGCCTCAATTTTTCAAACAAAACTTAAAAAAACTTCTATGCTAACTGAAAATTTTATTTTCTCCCCACCCCTTCAGTTGACTAGTGATCCACACCCAGTCAGAGACTCATAGAAAAAAAAAGAAAACCTCTTCTCCTACTTTAGAATTAGAGTAGGAAGACAGTTCTATCTGCCAAGGTGAATAGAACTTGAGTTGCATATGGCATGACTTGAACTCTGTACAATTCACTTTTATCCCCATCTTTACATGCCCAAGTGCTTTGTCCTCATCCTATCATTGGTGTAGTATGTGTTGGTGTGTATGGTGTGTATGGGTGTAGTTGTACAGTATGTGTATGTGATTGCATTGTATATGTGGTTGTATGTGTATGTTGTGTATATGTTTGTGTGGTGTGTGTGTTTGTATATATGGTGTGTATGTGTTGTGTATGTGTTTGTGTATGTGGTGTATATGCATGTGTATTGGTATGTATGTGGTGTGTGGGTACGATTACATTGTATATGTGCATATGTGAAGGGTGTGTGGCATATGTGTTGCGTGTGTGTGTGTGTGTGTGTGTGTGTGTATTGTATAGCGTGAGCTGTATTTGCTGTATGTGTGTATTGTATGTGTTGGGGGTGAGGTGTAGGGTGTGTGGTGCAAGGAGTGTTAAGCTTGGAATGGCCCTGGGACTGTGAGGTACGTGGAGCCCTTCTGCAAAGGCACCATATAAGGAGCAAGTATTCCTGAATTCAATAGCAAATCCATACATGACATTTAAATGTGCACAGTTTCATGTTTCAGTTACATAGTGGGTATCAACACAATGGTATTTTAACACTCTCTCTCTTCAGTCCGAGCTACAAAGTCCTTGGACAGCTTCCTGACACTGATGTGTATATTGATATAGACGCATATGAGGAGGTAGGAACTTTTCTATTATTTTAAATGGCTGTAAGCATGTGATGTGATTGGCTAACTAAATTTTATTTTTACCTAGAACAAAAAGTGGGGTTGAAACGGAGAGAGCTGTAATGGTCAAAGTGAAAAGGCTGAATATTGATTTCCTGTCTGGATTCATTTTTATTGTTTATACATTACTTGCTCAACCTCCTAATGCTTGTTTTTCCTCTTTTTTTTTTTTAATCCTCACCCGAGGATATTTTTCCACTTATCTTCAGATAGAGTGGAAGGGAGAGAAAGAGTGAGAGAGAGAGAGAGAGAGAGAGAGAGAGAGAGAGAGAGAGAGAAACATCGATGTGAGAGAGACACATTGACTGGTTGCCTCCCGCATGATCCTGACCAGGGCCAAGGACCAAACCACAACCGAAGTACATGCCCTTTACTGGAATCAAACCTGTAACTCTTTGGTCCTCGGGACCGATGCTCTAACCCCTGAGCCAAACTGACCTGGTCTATTTTTCCTCTTTTTTTAATTGAGGATACAGAGACATGGAAGTAGGGAACAGATTGACAGACTTCAGAGGGAAGGGGTGGGGGGAGGGTAGGAAGAGATGAACCAAAGAACTTATATGCATAACCAGACAGTCGTGAGGTGAAGGCAGGGAGGGGGCGCGTGGACCAGGGGACAGGGAGAAAAGGGTGTCAATGGAGGGGAAAAAAGGAAGGACATCTGTAATACTTTCAACAATAAAGATACATTTTATTTATTTATTTATTTATTTATTTTTCCTTTTATTAATTTGAGAGAGAGAGGAAGGGAGAGGGAGAGAGAGACAGAAACATCAATGAGAGAGAACATCAATTGGCTGCCTCCCGCATGCCCTGCACTGGGGATTTGGCCCATAACCTGGGCATGTGCCCTGACCGGGTATCAATAACTGGTGACCTCTTGGTGCATGGGTCAACGCTCAACCACTGAGCCACATTGACCTGGCAAAGATAAATTTTAAAATAATAATAATAATAAGCCCTGGCTGGTTTGGCTCAGCAGTTAGAGCATCAGTCCGCAGACTGAAGAATCATGGGTTCAATTTCCGGTCAAGGGCACGTACCTTGGTTGTGTGTTCAATCCCCAATCCCAGACAGGGTTGTGTGGAAGACAACCAATCAATGTTTCTCTCTCACATAGATGTTTCTCTCTATCTCTCTCTCCCTCCCTCTCACTCTGTCTGAAAAAATCAATGGAAAAATATCCTTGAGTGAGGATTAAAAACAAAAAACAGCAACAACAAAAATAAATATAATACAGTAATATAATAATAGTAATAATAATAAATTAGGATAAATATATATTGTTGGAATTGAAGTATATATTTACAAAATGCTGAAACTAAGAGGATGATTTGTATGTGCATGATTTTTTTCTGATGAATTTAAACTGATGGTAAAATATTTAATTAACTATATAAAATGTAGGTTGTTGGGCTATGGAATTTTTCTGCTTCATTTTTAATGGTTAAAATTAGGAATTAAAATTTTCTTGATTTTGAATATTCTTTCTTATGTGGAATCTCAAAGACTTAGACAAAACTAGTTTTAAAAGATTTTGTTAGTTTTCTGCTTGCGAAGAAATTCTCAGATTCACTATGAGGTATTAGGAAATGAGATTGGTGTTAGAGTTACTGTTTTCTCCTCCTTCCAAAGAATTATATGCTGAATTACTTGTTTCCAAACTGCATCCTAGAGCTCAAGACTTCTTGATAAAATATTCACTCTGAGCCCTGGCCAGGTAGCACAGTTGGTTAGAGCGTCGTCCTGATATACCAACCTTGCAGGTTAGATCCCTAGTCAGGGCACGTATAAGAATCAACCAAAGAATGCATAGACAAGTGGAACAACAAATCGATGTTATTCTCTCTCTCCCTCCTTCTCTCTTTCTAAAATCAATAAAATAAAAGATTTAAAAATATACTCACTGTTTCACTTGGGACCGTTTCAACTCCTGCCTGTATTCCATAAATGGACCAATATAAACCTCTGCTCGCTTTATTTGCCTTCTTCTCACAGTCTAAATATTTTTCCATTTCTTTTCTTTGTGTTTTTATAGTAAAAATGAAACACAGAAAGACTGTTAAAAGAAGTGGGAAGATGTGCATTTTTAAAGGCTTTTTTCTCAGTACTCCTTCCTCCAGAGCATGAATAGAGTGACATTATTTTATCTAAACACTATTAAGAGGGCCCTTAGCAATCTCTGCATGAGTTTTCAGGTTGGAAGAGGGGTGCAATCGCCGCTTTGATTCTGAAATACCTCTATGTGTTAAATTCAGTAACATTTTGTTTCTCAGGTAAAAGAAATTCCCGGAATAAAAATATTCCAAATAAATGCCCCAATTTATTATGCAAATAGCGACTTATATAGCAATGCATTAAAAAGAAAGGTGAGTCACAAGAAATTTTTATACTGTTTCTCTGTGTGTGTGTGTGTGTGTGTGTATCTACGTATATATGAGTATATATGTATACATATATAACCATATTTTTAAAATTTAAGAACAAAAGCGAAAAAAATAATTTTAGATTTCTTGCTCCGGGATCATGTGAGTGCCTTCTGTCAATGGTTAGAGCTCAGTTCCTCACTGCCCGATTTATAGAAAAACTTCACAGTCAACCCACAGAGTCTCTTAAATATAAGAATCTGATTAATCTGAAAAATGCTACTTTAAATTCTCTTTAATACTTTAGCTGCTGGTTGTCTTGAATCAAGACCAAGAATAAGAAAGGGTACTAATGTTCTTTTAATGAGGGAGTAACTCAGTTCAGGGGATCTGAGAGAAAGGTGGAGAAAGGGTTGGGAAGATAACTCGGCATAGGAAACCATCAAATGGGGACATTTAAAGACTGATTGCATTTGGGTGGGTTCCTGGGAGCCAAGAAGTAACTTTGCATATATTATGTTATGTAAGACTGGAGTGAACCCAGCTTTTATAATGGGAGCAAGAAGAAAGGCCATGAAGAAGTATGCTAAAGAAGTCGGGAATGCAAACATGGCCAATGCAACCATTGTCAAGGCGGTGAGTGGTTTCTTCATTGTAGTTTTCCCTTCTCTCTTGATCCACGGTGGCCCCCACCTTTATTCATGACTGACGTTTTAACACAGCATGAATTCCCTAAATTGGAAAGTTTAGAAATATCTAACTATCCTTTATGCATTAAAGATGCATGTTAAGCTCAGTTATGAGAATGCTTCTGAAATAAGTAATAATATGGGCCCAGGAAAATACTGTTTTAAAAACTAGACATCATACAATACCTTAATAAATTTTATCATTAGTGCTTCGCCATAGACACATTCAGTTCATAGTAAAAAAGCTCAAAGGCTTGTTTTTACTGTTCAAGCTTATGGTAACTTATGGTCTATCATGTTGAAGTTACTGGAATTATTTTAGAAGTTAGGGGAAATATTGGTATGACTAAGGAGAGTAGATTTAATTGAACAAAAAAAAAAGGAAAAGAAACTGAGCTAGAATTGAATATTATGTACACATCCTTTTTTTTTTTTTTTTGTCACATTACAAGGCTGGGATATGGCAAATTTTTTAGAAAAGATCTGGTATAGTCATTAGCTTGAGACTCTAAGGACTAATTGTTCCTTATAACTCTCAGGACCAAAATATGAGTTGTTCATAGAAATCTGGTGTGACTTAATTTTTGACACAGGATGCAGAAGTAGATGGAGAAGATGCTACAAAGCCTGAAGAAGAGGATGATGAAATAAAATTTCCTCCAGTGGTCATCAAGAGTACATTTCCTGAAGAACTGCAAAGATTTATGCCCCCAGGGGATAACATCCACACTGTCATTCTGGATTTTACACAAGTCAATTTTATTGATTCTGTTGGTGTAAAAACTCTGGCAGGGGTAAGCATCATCGTGAACAAGTAATTTAATATGTCTGTGCCCAGTTTTGCCATCAGTAAAATCAGAGAGTTGACCTAGAGTCCCTTTGCAACTCTTAAAAAAAAATTTTGTTTGTTTTCAACTTCTGATTATGAAAAATTTCAAAAATCTTCAAAAGTAAAGAGCATAGTGTAATAAACCCCCACATAAGTATCCCTCAGCTTCAACAATTATCAATTTGTAGTCAATCTTCTCATTTGTCCTCCTCCCACCCCTACTTTTCCTTTCTTTTATTTTGAAGCACATGCCAGTCATCATATCGTCTATAAATATTTCAGTATATATCTCTACAAGAAGATTCTTTTCAAAGGCATTACCATTATACCTTATTGCACCTAAATAAAATTTAACAAGAATTGTTTGGTATCCCTAATTATCACTGTCCATATAAAATCAAAAGAAATATAGAATCATGTAAAAATAATTAGCTCAAAAATGCATAATTATTGAAGCAAAAGTTCAAGTGAATGTACTAGAATGTCTTATACCAGTGAAATACATATTAGATAAAAGAGAGTTGCTTCTGGCACAGTCAAGAGAAACTAAACTTTATTTCAACATTATTGCAGATTGTAAAAGAATATGGAGATGTCGGTATTTATGTGTATTTAGCAGGATGCAGTGGTAAGTATACTTCTAGAATGAGGAGAAATAGTAATAGTTTGATTTTGGTTCTCTTTTTTTAATAACTGCATTTGGAAATATTTCCCCCTAAGTTTAGTTTTTGGTGAAAATGAAAATCATTCTTCTGAAAATCACTCTAAAGCTAGCTTGAAACTTGCCACTTGCAGGCACCCTGCCACCGGGCTGCTTGCGGCTGGCCTCCTGAACTGCAGTTGGCAGAGAGGAGCTAATAAACCATTGCTCTGGGCTGGTACATTTTTTAGTAATTATTTAATTAGCTACCATAAACTTATAGAAAATCATTTAACTTTTTCCATAAAATACCTGCTTTTTTGTTTTATATTAAATTTTGGTCAAAACAGTGCTTGAAAATGAACTCTACCCAATGGCAACAGTTAAAACTGCTCGGCAACGTGCTGTGCAGGCGTACTGTGAAAGAACAGGCACTCTCAGACCTGCTGTGTACGTGCAGAACGGAACAGCCTCTATGGAAACTTTCAGAATCACAAATGCGTTTGCCTTTTAACCCAGCAAACCCAGCAATGTGCTACACACATCCCAAATGAAACATGTACATGGTTAGTCATTATAGTATTATCTATAAAACAAAAGACTGGAAAAATTCAACTGTCAAATAAAAGGGATCCATTAAATCAATTAGGCTACATCTATGAGATTGAATACCATGTTATCATAAAAAATTAAGTGAAAAGATTAAAATTTTTAAAAATTTAGAATAATATATAGAGCATGCTTTCTTTTATATGAGAAAAGGGGGGAATTGTTTATGTATTTCTTTATATTTACGTAAAGAAATACTAGAAGAATACACAAGGAAATAATAAAAGTAGCCACTTGCAACTGAGGGTGTGATGTCATGGAGACAGGGATTAGAGTGAGACTTTTTATTGTATCATTTTAATATTTAACCTATATGAAAGTGTTACTTTTTTTTATGTTCAAGACTGATACCCAGAATGTGGACTAATTTTCTTTTCTTTTTTAGCACAAGTTGTTAATGACCTCACTCAAAACCGTTTTTTTGAAAATCCTGCCTTAAAGGAACTGCTGTTCCACAGCATTCACGATGCAGTTTTAGGGAGCCAGCTTCGAGAGGCGCTTGCTGAACAAGAAGCCTTGACCCCTCCGCCCCAGGAGGATTCAGAGCCCAATGCCACTCCTGAGGCGTGAGGAACTCAGCCTGGGATGGGGTATGAGCCTCTCCTGAAATTACTAATATACACATTTTAAATGCTAGCCACTAGATTTTTTCCCCTAAGGGTAAATATGAGTAGTCAAGGCTTGATTTGGAGGGTGAATGACGCATAGCAAGATGTATCTTACTTGTGTTTGTTTTTTAATTGACTATTTCCAAGATAAATTGTCCTCTTACCTGGATTTATTGTACAGTCACATTTCTCTTTTTAGTATTATTTTTGTCAGCTAAGCACTTAAGAATTTTTCTAAATACTTTACCTACAAATCATGTATGTTATCACCAACCAAGGTAGTGGTTCCTTGCTTTTGTACTCATTGGTCTACAAACTTTCTGTAATTAGTTATTGAACAGAGGTAACATACTGCATTTTCGAGAAGCTCTTTTAAAATAAGCTTTTGGCCTGGTTGGTGTGGCTGAGTGGATTAAGCATCATCTCATAGACTGAGAGGTCCTGGTTCAATTCCCGATTGGGGCACATGCCCAGGTTTCAGGCTCAATCCCCAGTAGGGGGCATGCAGGAGGCAACTAATCGATGTTTCTCTCTCACTTTGAAGTCTCTCTCTCCCCTTTTCTCTCTCTCAAAATCAATAAAAACACATATTTTTAAAATATCGCTTCTCAGCCTTTTGGCTAAGATCAAGTGTAGTATCTGTTCTTATCAGTTTAATATCTGATAACATCCTCTATCCGAGGACAGTATATTAAATGGATTTTTGGAGCAGGGAGATGGAACAGGAGTTTGCTCCATCCACTCCAAGCATCAATCCAGTATTGCAGTACCTCCGGGAATGGTGCACCAAAAAAATAAATAAAGTAAGCTTTTGTTTTTATAGAAGCAATATAAGTGCATGATAGAAAAATAGAAAAAATAGATAAGCAAAGATAAGAAAATAAAAACATTATATTGCCACCACTCAAAGATTATCGTTAATAGCTTAATGCGTATCCTTTCATAGCTTTATGAATTTATTTACATCTTTAACTAAAATAATATCATACTCTACATAGTGTTCTGTAACCTATTTTTTTTTTCCATAAATAATCTCCATTTTCTCATTTCAGAACATTTTTACCATGTTCAAATTTAACCCACTTGTCCCCAAAGTTGTAGTTGGGTTTGTCCAAACTAGTATACTATCTAGGATCTTACACTATACCTGGTCAAGTTCCTTTCAGTCCTTTAAGTCTCTTTAATCTAGCATAGTCCCTTTTTTGATGACATTAATTTGTTAAAGCAGTGGTTTTCAACCTTCCTAATGCCTTTAATACAGTTTCTCATGTTGTGGTAACCCCCAACTATAAAATTATTTTCGTTGCTACTTCATAACTGTAATTTTGCTACTGTTATGAATCGCCATCGGAAATATGTGTTTTCTGATGGTCTAGGCGACCCCTGTGAAAGGGTCCTTCGACCCCCAAAGGGTCACAACCCACAGGTTGAGAAACGCTGTGTTAAAGATTGTGGCAGTTTTCCTGTAGAATGCCATATTGTTAATGTGTCTATTTGCTTTCTTCCAGTGTTACTTAGCTTGTCCTTTTATTTCCTGCACTACCTGTGATCTAGAAGTTATACCTAGAGGCCTCATGGATTTGAATAAAACATTGCTTTGCTGGAATATATCACAGAGAGACACACGCTTCAAATTGCACCACGACAGAAAACACACCATATCTTGTTGATCCTACCATTAACAATGCTAAAATAAATCCACTGGATTAACATAACAGCCTAATCCCCCAATTACATTTTCACTTTTGTGACTAGTGAGTTATCTGCTTGGTGTTCCTTTGGCATAAATGAATTCCCAGTTCCCCATTAGCCATTCACCCAGAGCTTTTAACATCTAGTGATAATCCTTGCCTAATCAGTAAATATTAAGGTTTGTGAACTTTTTTCTAGTTTTCTTATTCCTTCTGCATTTATTAGTTGGTGTTTCTATGTAAACTATAGCTTTCCTTCTTCCACTTGAGCTATTTAGTCATCCTTAAACACAGTTCTTACTGGAAAGGCAGGTTTATTTTTTCCATTTATCAACTTCAGAGTAAGAAGCTGGTTTAATAAATAGATGGTGACAAATTAACTTCTTTTAGATGCCTTTATTAGTATAATTATAGACTCATGAATTTTTATATTTTTATGTGTTTCAGTCTGTTATAGTTATTCTTTTTGGTGCTAAAATTGTCACAACTGTGACCAGTAGGAGCCCCTAGAAATGTTGTTGCTAATAGTGCAGTAGACTTACAGAGCACGTATTTAACAAAACTAACTCCTAAGTATAATTTAGTTTTCCTTAGAAATCTATAAGTTATCAGTTAATAATTCATCAAACTCAGTTTTAGGCCTGTGAATGAGTAAAATGCTTATTTCAAGCACTTGTTATAGTTGTTCCAAAGGAGTAGGGGAGACTGTTCAGCCAACTTGTCCTCAAAACTTCTTATAGTTTCAAAGCACAAGTATAAGCTAACCTGCCTAAAAGCCTCCCCTGCTAAGATTTCCTGCTAATAGTCAGTTTTTATGTTTTTTTCTCTTTCTTAAAAAATAGGTTTCCTTATTGACTCCTTTTTTAAATTTTCATGAAGAAAACACACTGCCAGGAGAGAAGTGGCCGTATCCCAGGGAGGAACCAAACGCTGTGGTTTGTTTGCTTTAACTCCCATGAAGTTTCAGTAACTTTACTAATTTAATTCAAAGTAGACCCCTCCTTCTAATCAATTCTTTCCCTAGATCTAGAGTGAAATTAGATTTACATCGTTATTTCCTTGACAGTCATCACACACAAGACTGATATGTCTGCTTTCTGATACAGACGGCCTTCTGAAGGAGCATGTAGTTGTAGAGCCTCAGCTTACTTTTATAAAAGGGCCTGCATCATTTCAGCCATTAAAGTAGAACTTAGGGATTTTAAACAATGTTATAAAATACTTCGTTGCATATTCCTTAGCACCAGCCTTCAACAAATGCTTTACATATAGTAGAGACTCAAGTCCTAGTTAATAGGTTGAAAGCAGTATACAAAAAATGTATTTGTCTATATCTTACAAATTTATATTTAACTTTAATGTTTAACCTATTTTGAATAGAATTCTACCATGTACATAAAAACAAAACACTTAAGTCTTACTGAAGGGAAATGTTTTGTTTCAGCATGCCTCTGAGAGTCTAAGAGTACATTTCAAAATGTAGTTTATCTGTATGTAAATATTTTACTTAGAATTATTTCATAGAGTGGAAATTTTCCTGACCCTTTTTTACTTGGTTTTCTCTCTACCTTCTTTCTGGACTTTAATAGCTGCTAGTGTATGCCTTTCTGTCTTTCAGTCCTGATTCAAATTCAGATTCTTACTGCCCTATCAAAATGGGCATAATATATCAATAAATATGGGAACTAGCCTTTTTTATGGTAGTAAGGATATCTTCAGGAAGGTCCCATATAGAGAAATGCTTTGTCTTTCTCAAATCCTGTATAATGATAGTGGTTGATCACTACCTCATGGATGGTGGAATGTTTGCAAATGATGTGAACCAGGGCTCAGGAAACTGCTAGTTCATGTCATAGACATTGACTCTGTATAAAATGGCAGCTGATAGCTGGGACCCCAGTTGCCAATTTCATCTGCAGTGGGACACACAGAAACAGTAACGGATCTGAATCCTCTGCAAGCCCTGGGAGTAGCACCTTTGTAGTTTTCAGTCCTGATTCAAATTCAGATTCTTACTGCCCTATCAAAATGGGCATAATATATCAATAAATATGGGAACTAGCCTTTTAACACCTAAAATATCCACTCCATGTGGTTTGATGCTGTATCCTTAACTGTTTAACAGAAAAAGGAGGTGCTTGCCTCCAAAGGTATGTTTAGAGAAAATGAGTCTGCCCTTGTATGTGCATTGAGAGGGCAGCAAACCCAGAGAATCTGTCCTGGAATGGTAGGTGTGTTTTTGTGTTTTAGGGGGTGGGGGTAGTGAGGTGTGCCCTTGTGTGGGATGAGGGAGGGAATGGTATGTGGTGGGGAAGGCTTTATCTACTATGTCTGCCCCCTTAAAAATAGTAAATCAATTTAAATTCTAAGATCCAATAAAATTTACTTGGTGTGAGCCTGTATGCTTTAGTGAGTTCAAAAATGTTTTTTAGTGTACCTTTCAGGAATGCTTTTAGGATTCGGTATGTTTAGATTCTTGATAATATGGTTTGAGTGCTAATAAAAGTTGATATGAGAACTGATAAAAGTATTATCTAATCTCCCAAACATATGGCCAACCAAAATGCACGTGGTGATTTTGAAACCCCTCAGATCTCAACAAAATGTTCAAAAGCTAGCTGCCTGCTTACTAACTTGGATGTAATCAAGTTTGAGCATCTCACAAATCCATCTTGCCTTTGAAAAAGGCTTAGCCCCTTTTTCATTGTACTAGTATATATAGCATTTAATTTATGTAACAGATGAACCTGACCTTTGTGGAAATTACTTTTATAAATCTGATCACATTTTTAAATGTTAACAGTATTTTTAAAGTATCACTACAGTATTATTTTTCTAGTCATAAACCCTTTGTATTCCAATTTACCTGTCAGCACCCTGAAACGTATAAACATACACATACATGCATCTCTACACACACATACACATGTACCTGCACATATACATTTTAGGTGGTTACTGGTGAATGTATATTTTCTTTTTAAACATGGTAATCTAGATAGAATTGATGCTATCTGCATATACATGCCTGGACAGAAACACCATGTTTTTCAAATAAGTTACTGTGCATTTGATGCATTGCCAGTCAGATTTTTTGTCATGTGACTAACTGAGATGTCAAGATTGAGAGCCTATAACACATCAGGCCTGAGTGAGATCAACATGTGCAATTTGAGTTGTCTCAAGTTGGTGGATATAACGTGAGGATGTGGCTATATGAAAAAGTGTAAGATTCAAAGAGCGAATTCTAAATACTTGTATTTATAAAAACATTCATCTTTAGTCATTCAACTGAGCATATATTATTATAAGCAGAACGTAGAAATGGTTTACTCTACTTTATACCTCATGAAAGACTAGGGCAGGCTTAGGAAAAAAATTTTCTGATAAATTTCACAAAAAAATAAAAATAAAAAAAATAAAGGATGTGGTTGGATTTTATGAATAAAGGGCTTTAATTTTTCTGCTTGAAAACTTTCATGCTTTAATTATTTCAATGAAATACTTAAAAGTGTTTTCTATGTTGTCAACTTTTTCTTTTGTGTTTTAAAATGTATCCAGCTCTACTTTTTGCATTGCTTATTTATGAATACTGAACTGCAATAAAAATATTCTTTATTGTGCTTGGGTCTCAGTATTTGGGGTGAGGGGGTAATTGTAGTGGAAAGGGAAGGGGATTTGGTGGTGTTTGCACAAGAAATCATTTTAAAGAGATCTGTTGAGAATTTTAATGCAACTTATATTTAGATCAGATGTCTAACAGGAGCTTTACCAAAAGTTAAACCATTAATTTATAAAATGAAAATAAGTACTTTTCTGTATGAAGCCAATTCTAGATTTTCCAAATTAGATTGTTGTGTATATACTTTTTTCTTCTTTACTTCACTGTAAATCAACAATCCTCAATTAATTTGAAATCAAATTAAATAGCAACACAAAACATACTACATCAGATGCTTCTGACACCCCCCAAAAAAGTTTGGCCAAAGCTTTATTATTTAACGTAGTAGGGAAAAAACCATCAAAGTTCATGTGCTCATGTGCCTAGATGGGCTATTCGGATGAGGGCAGAAGAGCACACTGGTTAGGCGCATAGGGAACAGAGCTGACAAACTTGGACCTGAATCCCAGCTCTGAATACAAGTCAATTTGGTAGGACAGTTTTTGCATTCATTATATCAAGATCCAATAGACAGACCCACCTGGGGGCAGATGGGAGGATCCAATGAATGACATGTACGGCACCCAGCCAATATACGCCTAGAACACACAGGCTCTAAGCAAGCACTTTATGACATGGAATCCACAAATGGTAGCAGATCAAAAAACAACATACACTGTAATAAGCTTTTCTGCCTAATATCAGATACCACCTTGTATTAGACCACAGAGGAAAAAATATCTGAAAAAAAAAACATACATTCTGAAACCATTTATTTTTTTGTGTGAAATGGTTACTAACAAGTCTATATAAGCTTAGGATTCCAATTAAAAGAAGTGTTTTCATGAAAGAATTCAGGGCTCAGTTGTATGTCATATAGCGGGGAGTAGCGCTGAATTTGGCATAGGACTTAATGACCTTATTTACAGCTTCCAAGAAATCCTTCTCAGTAGCTATTTTTCGCCGTGCTCTGATGGCAAACATACCAGCTTCTGTGCAGACACTTCTAATTTCAGCACCTTTCAAACAAAAAGAAAATAATAGGCTTAAATAAAGCAGTCAGGACAGAAAGACCAGCAAATATAAACAAGACCTTTCAACCTACCAGTGCTATTTGGACATAGTCGTGCTAACAATTCAAATCTGATATCTCTCTCGACACTCATTGAACGCGCGTGAATCTTAAAAATGTGAGTCCGACCCTAAAAATAGAGGAATTGAAAAATATTACAATGGAAAACATCAAGGGAAGAAAAAATGTCAAGAATCCCTTTTCTAAAAAGAAATGATTTTCTTACCTCTAGATCAGGTAAGCTAAATTCAATCTTCCTATCCAGTCTCCCTGGCCTCATCAGTGCTGGATCCAAAGTGTCAGGTCTGTTAGTGGCCATCAGCACTTTAATGTTGCCTCGAGGATCAAAACCATCCAGCTGATTGATCAATTCCAACATCGTTCTCTGTACTTCATTGTCACCTCCAGCACCATCATCAAAACGAGCCCCTAAGACAAAAGGAAAGATACACTCAGTCACAGTAGTGACTACACATAACTTCAAAGTACTGTAAATCTCAGCTCAAATCATGCCCTCCAGTGCAAGTGAATATCCAGTTTTAAGCAAATCCCGTAAGAACTGCCTGCTTTACACAAAATTAATTAGAAAGCGAATCTTTCAAAAGATGCATCATAGATTTATTTAACATAGGCTCCTTTAAAGCTTTGTTTTAATTCTCTTTAAGGAACTTTGCTTTTAAATCATGTTGTTGTTTTTTTGTTAATCTTCACCAGAGGATATTTTTCCAGATTTTTAGATAGGGAGGGAGCGAGGGTGGGAAACATCAATGTGAGAGAGACATATTGATTGATTGTCTCCTGCATGGCCAGGGCTGGGGATTGAACCTGCAACCCAGGTACATGCCCCTGACTGGGATCAAACCCAAGACCCTTCAGTCCACAGGCAGGCTGATGCTATAACCGCTGAGCCAAACCAGCCAGGGCAAGAACACCTCCACTGTTTAGCACAATGTACACTGGGACTAGACAGCAGAATAACATGCATACTTCAGCACTGTAATGAAAGAAACTGCCACATTCTTCTACATTTCTCAAAACTGTCCTTAAAAATAAGGCTCAAGCCATAATACAATAGAAATATAACTTACACTATCACACTACTTTGGATACATTACAGTACTCTCAGCTAATGTCTCATTTCAACCAAAATAGCAAAAACAAAAAAAAAGCATTCAAATAAACATATTTTCATTTTAAAATTATATAAATGCATACTGTTGTATTAATGTATTATATACATCATAACGCAAAAATTGAAAAATTAAAAAATGAGATTAAAATTAAATATGAGGAAAAATTCTAGCATTTTCTTCCTGCACCCTATTATTTCATACACAACTCACTTTGGAAAGCGTAGCTTTCAGAGCATCCTGAAATTATAAGTCTTATTCCAATGCTACTATAAAAATGACTTAAGAGCCACCACACCACATCAATATATTGTGCTCAAGTTAACCACTTGAAGACCTTAACTACAGGCTGTCCAAATCCAACAACATCCATCCAGTATAAAAGCAAGACTCTAGATAACCTAACCACAGTTCCCAAACAGTGTTACAAGGTCCACTGTATTTTCAAGTCATTTTTGTCACTAAGTCCCTTAAATAACAAATGTCTGGACATATGACATTTCTCTAGCTAGTAAAGATTATTACTCTTATAGACTATAGTAATTAAGGCCTACAGAGGAGTTTAGTTTTCAAAGTCTATCACATTTATTACTTTAAAGCTCAAAAAAAACCCCATGAAATTAACAGGGCAGGAATTATCACGCCCTTTATGAGAGGCACAGAGTTAGTTAAAATAACTTGTCTGGATCACACAGCTAATACTGTACTTCATCAGATCTGTGAAGCCAACAGTGACATTACTTTATGTACACTATATGAATAGCATCACCAATTAAATTATGCCCCAGTGCTTTTCTTACCACATTAAGTGAAGCTACACCCCAAGTTAGGGATTGTTCAAGTGTGAAAATAGGTGTCGTATGAATGAAATTAGGAAAATACAAAGATAAAGACTTTAAGAAACAGCAATGCTATATAACATTTCTTTTTCCTTTACAGTGTAGCCCTACTGTTCATTAGATCTGTGGCTCCAATGTGCAAGAGCTTGGAGAAGAGCCGGAATTAAAACTTCTAAGATGAACCTACCGGAGAACTCTCCACATACAGTCGGCCCACGTTTATCGCGGTTAATCAGCTCCAGACTCCACCGTGATAAATGAATTTTCGCAAAGTAGGATTCTTTATTTATACACAGTTGTCCTTCTCCACTTCGTGCTTTGACTTTCGTGGTTTCACTCTATCACGGCTTTTTCAAATACTATACTATGCTTGAAAAAACCGCGATAGAGTGAAGCCGCGAAAGTCGAAGGGCGAAGTGGTGAGGGACGACTGTACTACTTTAGGACTCTCATGAAACCCAACCCTAAAGTAGTTCTCTAAAATACCATCCATACCTCCAATAGCATCAATTTCATCAAAGAAGATAAGGCAGGCTTTTTTTGTTCTGGCCATTTCAAAGAGCTCTCGAACCATTCGTGCCCCCTAATGAGAAAAATCATTTGTTAATTCAGAGTTGGTTTTAAAATCTTTAAAAATATAATAAGGTATATTTCAAACTTTTTAACATTACTAACAATATACTCAACCATTATTATGTAAGGGTTTTTCAAAAAAACTGAAGTCTGTTACCTATTCCATCAAATTAATCTTACTGGCCTTAAGTAATTTCATAAATCTATACCTCGTAAGTAGCCAGTAACTCTAAGACCCAAAGAGGACAAATTAAGACTATTAAATAAAATGAAGGCACCATTTCAATCAGCAACACTCGAATAAATAAAAGCATTTATCACTTGGCATTTCTGATCACTAAATTTGTTTTTTTGTTGTTGTTCATCCTCACCTAAGGATATTTTTCCATTGATTTTTTTTTTTTTTTAAGATAGTGGAAGGCAGAAAGTGGGGGAGGAGGAGGGAGGGAGGGGGAGGGAGGGAGAAGCGGGGGGGAGAGAGAGAGAAACAATGACATGACCAGTGATTTTGATTTGTAAGTGTTGCTCAGGGAATAAAAGTACTATAGCTCAATTCACCCAGCTCCTTTTCTAATTCTTACTGTAAGTATTCCAATTGCTAATGTTTCAGATACAATATATATATAGCCCTAGACTTACTCTCTAATGAAAAAATCTGTGTGTGGGTGTACACACTCATACACATAGACACTCGATGTTCTCTCTTTCTCAATAGACCATAAAAGGCTGACCCTGAAGTGAAAGCACACTTTTTTTTATCCTTACCCAAGGTTAATTTTCCATTTATTTTCAGACAGAGTGAAAGGGAGAGATAAGAGAGAGAGAGCGATGTGAGAGAGACACATCGACTGGTTGCCTTCCACACAACCCCAACCAGGGCCGGGACCGAACTGCAATTGAGGTACGTGCCTTGACTGGAATCGAACCCTGGACTCTTTGGTCTGCGGTCGACACACTAACCACTGAACCAAACTGGCCAGGGCTGAAAGCATACTTTTGAATTCACCAGGCATTTCTGGCATATTTCTCTTACAAGACAAATCTGTAGAAAATGTTATCTTTCTGAGGAGGAAGCATGGTGATTAAAAATATTAGGCAGTTGTTTATTTCCAAATGACCACAAGGGAAGGCCGGTGGCTTCTACAACTACTAACTACATTCCATCAATCAAGAAATGTTGGGTGTCAATCTTTCTATGTAAAACTGACATTTTAATTTCATCCATGCTTTATAAATCTTTCACAGAGCCACATATTGATTATGATCAGTTTACTTTACCTCACCAACGTATTTCTGTACAAGTTCAGATCCAATAACTCGAATGAAGCAAGCATCAGTCCTATTAGCAACTGCCCGAGCACAGAGTGTCTTGCCTGTACCCGGAGGACCAAAGAGCAACACACCCTTGGGAGGCTCAATGCCAAGGTTAACAAACCTCTCTGGCTGTAATGGAGACAAAATTTTTATAATTATCACTTCTGTATAATAAAAATAAGACTACTTTTACATCAATATATTTAAACCAAAATTGTTAAGTCCATAATCTATATACTTGATCTAGACAAAAACTTTACTTATCTAAGATGTAAGACATAAATTAGATTCATATAAATACATAAGGCTGAATGGCTTTTAAAGGTATTTCTACTAACTAGGCTTAACAAATTTATTTTTTCCTAATTTAAAAAAAATTGCAGTGTTTAAAAGACAAAAGTGTTTTCTCGTATTTAATACACTAGTTCTCCATTCTCATCCCAAGCTTACTTTGATTCCATTTAAACCTATTTCTTCTTGATATCATTTAAACACATGGTTTCTTCTACAGTAACCTATAACATATTTAACATACTGCTAAAGGTTATACCTCAATCTCCTGTCACTTAAAACAGTAGAGCTTTCTTTTTTTAATAGACTTGACCACTCAATCCTTTTGCTTTCTCGTCTGGAACTTACCAATTCTCCATACCTACCTTTATCCCCTCAAAAATTTTCATTAAGGAAAATATAAAATTTAAACTTAATATATAGGTAACTTTAGTACACAGTGTACAAAAGGCTATCATATCATTATACAAAGAAAGTTAAAATGCAACAGATTCAGTCACTTACATGAAGTAGAGGGGTTTCAACCACTTCTCGAAGCTTCTCAATCTGTTCCTTACAGCCGCCCACATCACTGTATGTGACGTCAGGTTTCTCCTCTACCTACGAAAGGGAAGAAAATGTACCCATATAGCCATAGGTTTTTGAATACTCGTCCAAACGTTCTATCTAGTAGAGCAGACTCAATACCCTAGAAGAAAAATCAGACTTATAGCAAGTAAAAATTTTTTTTAAATGCAATATATTGCCTAGTATGCTAGAACCTCTTGCTATATTACTTATGATACTAAATCAGAGACAAACCAGTAAAGACTAATAAAGATTGAAAGATAGTTTTAAAAATTTGGGCAAATCAATACATACCCACATATTAAGTTTATCAGTTAAAGGTTCAAAATTTTTTGAGATGGATGCAGTTGCATTCTAAGTCATGCCACTTCTTTTCCCTTCATAGTTTCTTACCTGCATCATGGTAACTGTTGGGTCAATCTTAGGAGGCAGTGGAATGTGAATCTGATACTTATTTCTGTCCACACTAAAAAGGTAAAAAAGATCCTCACTAACACATTCAAAAATTTTTCTAAGTGAATTATTAAGTATTCTATATGCATTAATTACATTAACTCTATACTAACTATCCTACAGTAAGTGCTTCCCCCACCTCCACATTACCTTAAAAAGATTGGCAAACTTACTTTGATTATCACATTTGAAGTCATTCATAAAAAGTCATAGTGGGGGTGGGGGAAAAGAGGAAAGTGGGAGGTCAGGAAACAGATGCAGAAGAAAGGATGTTCAACTGCAGTACTCCACCAGATTATCCCTTGGTATTCCATGGCAACCAGTATATTCATTCAAAAGAAAGCCAAGGATGTGAATGTGACATGGTATCTTTAGTAAAAGATGAGTATTTATTATAAATAGAAATCTTACCCAACTCTCATCCCTTCTTCAATGTCAGTAGGTGCTACCTGATCACTGAGGTCCACCACAAATTTGGCAAACTGCTTGACATTGATAATGTACTTCGGGTCTTCCGAATCAGCATTGATTATCTTTGTACATCTAACACAGCAAAAGATTTGATTAGAGTAAGGAACCTACACCATTAATAATGAATTAAAGTAACTAGTCTCCCCGGGCATGCAGCACACAAATGAGCAGGTGTAAATTAGAACAGCAGAAACTGGGCCACTGATAAAAGATCCTTTTCTATAGAATATGCTCAATCCCAAGGGTCCAACTTAAGTCAAGTCACAAAATTTTCAAAAGACACATATCCCTTGAAAATTAAACCCAAATATTTCATCACTAGAAAGTTCTCTAATTTCTTGATTTTCATAACTATATTCCGTTATTAGTGATATTTATATCTTAACTCGGCAATTTTTAAAACACGCAACACCTGCCCATTTACTCAGGGGCACCGACCTCTTTTTCCCTAGATCGTCAAATAAAAATACAGTAACAGCCATCCGGTGTGAATGAATTTTTTTGTCAGATCGGCAAAAAATAAATTTTTTGGTGTGCCACAGAATTTCAGTAATTGTGTGTCATGAGATGAAAATGGTCAAAAATTGCTGTCTTAAGTTACTCTGCTTTTTATTTTCCGTATCAGAAGACAATTATCTTGTCTTACAGTAAGTAATAAATGTTTTCTCATTCTTTCCTGAGTTTATACTTCAAATCCATTTTTATTGTGGCAATTTTTAACTTAAATGTATTATTTTTGGGTGACGTAAAGGCAAATTTTAATAGTATGTACATTATATAGAAAATACTCTACCCCCTTTCCTCTTCTATATTATTTGTCTACTGAAGAAAAACAAAAACAAAAAACAGAACTCATGTTAGGGAATTCACATCATAAGCTGTAACAACAAATGCCAGGAAATACAAAACAGTCTCTGAAGTATGCATGTAGGTATCACAGAAAGGAAGGTCAAGATGCTTTGTCCTTGAAGCATAATTGTGTGACAGTGACAGAACTCTTTCCTGTTACTAGCCAAGGCCTACCGAGGAGGCAGAATTATATACATATAAAGTATCTATCACTACTTTATACAACAGACCCTGCCAACACTGTTGCACAGATGTAAATTTTTTAATCCATAGCTGAAAAAGTATAGACTATACAGGGACCTCAATTTTCAGAATGGTGAAGCAAGGGCTTTTGAAAGTATGCTTCTCCTCGAAAGCAAAGTGAACAATGGCAAAAACAGTCAAAATTAACATTTTCCCAAGTCTGGAAATGGGGAGGGAGGGGTTGCCAATGAGTCTGGAGCTCCCCAAAACCCAGCCCCCAGAGAACTGCCACTATTTGACCAGTATGGCAGCGCAGGACCTGTCTTTATTTGACCTGACTTGGAGCTCACATGGTGTGAATATCCCTACCCAAAGGGCCTTTGATGGAAACAATCAGTGACAATTATTTAATATCACAATTGTCTGAAGCAGCATTATACCAGTTTGGCCAACAAAAGATTGACCAAAACATTTTAAAAGAAACACAGCAACAATAACAAACCCTAGGGAAAGGGGAAATCTGATTTCCAGATCTGACATATTACATTACTTGAAATGTTCAGTTTCCATTAAAAAAAGTATGAGAGACAAAAAGAAATAGAGACATAGAGCACATACATAGGGAAAAAGCAGTTCATAGAAACTGTCCCTGAAGAAGCCTAGACATTGGTCTTACTAAACAAAAACTTTAACCAGTATCATAAATACTTTTTAAAAAACTGAAGGAAACTATGTTTAAACAATTAATGGGAAGTATGAAAACGTCTCATCAAAGAGAGAATATCAATGAAGAGAGAAATTAAGCTAGAACAATATTTGGCTATGAAAAGAAATGATGTTCTGATACATGCTACAACATGGATGAATCATGATACATTATGCTAAGTGAAAGAAGCTAGGCTCAAAAGGTCATACATTTAAATGAAATGGTTCCTTTTTTATGAAATATCCAGGGTAGGCAAATACATACAGAAATTAGATGAGTGGTTGCCAGAAGCTAGGGAAAGGGGAATAGGAACTGTTATGGGTATGGGGTTTCTTTTTGGGGTGATGAAACTATTCTGGAAAGAGTAAAACAGAAGTGATCAAGAAATGCTGGGGCAAGACATAGGGTGGGGGTAGTGGTGGTGACAACTTTGCTGAAAATGAGAAGGGTGGGGAGGTGAGAGGTGAACAGCGAGAAAACATAAGTGAACCTGCTGCTGAAATTCCCCAGTCCTCTATCTCCACTATTCTTCCAAAATATCGGATACTGAAGACAACAGGAGATTGAAAAAAAAAAAACTGCTCTGGGAAAAATGACCATCCAAATGCAAAGATCTAAAGACACTGATACCGAAGGCCCCACAGCCACACACCCAACCACAGAAGCTACAGTGAAGCTTAGGGTCACCATGTTTCCCTATTGGATCTAGAGCTTCTATCAGTTTTGCCTCCCACTAAAACCAAAGCCAAAGTAAGATTGCCAAATATCTAGCATAAAAGATGGACACCAAACAAGCAAAGAACAATCAACATCTTGGAGGAAGCAGAAACCATCCAGTTATCATTAATTTCCTTAAAGATAAGAACATATTACAACCATGATATGAGAACAGGACATTCAAAAAACAACAAAACACATGCAATAAAATAAAGAAGAGCTCCTGGATATTAAAAACTTAAGAAGAGAAATAGAAAACAGAAATCAATAGAAGGGCTCAAAGAAAAGTTAAGAAAAATCTCAAAAAAGTAGAGCAAACCAAAAAAAAGAGAAAGGTTAGCATATTAAAAAGTCACTGTGATGACTGTGATTCAAGGGGTATAAAGGACAACTGGTCAAACTGAAGCAGGTCAGAAAGTGCTGGGAAAGACTTCTTCAGGAAGATGAGCCTGAGAGAATACCTGATGCAGCTAGCGCACCTGAGGTATAAATGAGAGAAAACCTGATGGACCTAAAGCAGCTGAAGAGCAATTCAGACAATCAGGAAAAACTGAGGGGTTGAGTTAGTAATATACATAAAAAACCAGACAAATCAAAAAACAAGATAACTATAACAGGGAAAACAAAAAGGTACACGAAAGGAAAAGTAATTCCAGTAAATAGGGTTTACTTAGCCATAATTATAAAAATACTGAATGCTGATTTAACCTAATTTTTTTTTCTTTATTGATTTTGAGAGAGAGGAAGGGAGAGGAAGAGATCAAAACATCGATGACAGAGAACATTCATCGGCTGCCTCCTGCACGCCCCCACTGGGGATCAGGCCCACAAATTGGGCATGCGCCCTGACCAGGAGTCAAATTGACGACCTCTTGGTACATGGGTTGATGCTCAACACTGAGCCACACCAGCCGGGCGTAACCTAAATTTTAATATAATTACATTAGGAGGATGTAGGAACAGGAAAATATAGGGCAGGATTAAAACGACCACACTACTTTCAGTAGTTATGACTGAGAAAGGAAGGTGGAAAGGAAGATTTTTCACATTTGCCCTGCGTCGTTCTGCATCATTTGAACCTTTTATGATACATCTTCACCTGTTATTGAGTAATTGTTTAAGGCATAAAATTTTAACCCCAGATACTTTTGTAGGAAGCTTTGTTTACTTGGAATTTGGAATAAAAATTCTTCATGAACTACCACATTATATCTGAGACTCAAATAAATTTCCACAGGACATACCTTGCAACCTGCAGAGGCTGTTCACTCTGGAGTGTCTGCTTATCTGCAGCCAAATCCCAGAGTGCTGGTGGGGCCAGGCCAGTGTCAGACTCTTTAATACCTACATAAAGAGATTACAAAACTCACTAAAATGTAATGCATCACTCTAAAGCAAGCTTTCTCAACCTCTGCACTACTGACATTTTGAACTGAGTAATTCATTGTGGGGGTGTCCTGTGCATTATAGGATGGTTAGCAGCATCCTAGGACACTAGCCACTAGATGCCACTGACACCACCTCCCCCCCAAGTCATGAGAACCAAGAATATTTCCAGATACTGCCAAATGTACTAGGGGGAGAGGGAATAAAATCACACCAGCTGAAAACCACTGCCCTAAAGTAGTCACAAGCCAAAAAAAAATTTATACCATATTTGACATTTTTTTGGTGATCAAATACTATAAAATTTTACCACTCAAATTCCCAAGAAAAGTTTCCAATTACTAGGCAATAGCCCACTTACATAAGCAAACCATGTGAGATCATATTTTAATTCAATGAGAAAACTAAACTTTTTTTAGAGTTTACTGAACCTGGCTTTGACCAATAGAAACATTACTTACTTAAAGGATAATGTTGTTTCTTAATTGCTTAAGCATTAAATTTGTTCGTAAAAGAGATTATTAAATGAAATCCAATTTCTTAAAAGATAGGAAGGATAATAATTTTTAAAAATCTGTAATTCATGAAAGAGCACATTTGAATTTAAACTTTTTTTTATATAATTTACACATTACATTTAGAGAGGGGGAACAGAAATTTAAAAACATATACCAGTGAGCTCATTAATTTTCTTAAGAAGTTGTTGAATGTCATCTTCAACTTGCTTGATCTGCCTAGAGTAAGTGCTCTGACCCTAGGAGATAAACATCAGTTTAATTAGAGTATCAGGAAATTAACAACTTATTGAACTATGAAATACAGTTCATACAGTTCAAGTACAATAAACATTTGTGTAAATTATTTCAAATATCCTTTGATAGAGTTCCATACTTTAATTACAAATAATATAAAAATAGTGCACAAACTTAGACACACTGAATATTTATACTCTGATATATTCTAGACAGAAACTGTAGGAAGTTAACTTTATTTCAGTTAAGATTACTATAAACTTCTAGACATTCTCTTCTAATTATTTTGGAAGAGCAATACCAAGAATAGTTCTTATTTCAACATTTTGTTGATACTGAAGGACTTACATAAGTTTTCAGCAAGGCAATATCACCCTCATCCAGAGCTGAAAAGAAGTAATACACGAGATTCAAACACAAGAAATTAGAGCTAACAATTCTTTCTGTTCAATTCAAACCTCATTAATTGAGTGAGAAAAAATGTGCAAAGTTGTAATGATATAAATACAACCTTCAAATAGTTCCTGGAATCATGGGTAATTGGGTGAAGACACACACATAGCTGATGGAGAGTCTCAAAGTAGTAAGATCCAATAAAAATAGGGAGCCCATCCCTGGCAGTTTTTCTCAGTGGTTAGAGCGTTGGCCTGCAAACCGGAGAGTACCAGGTTTGGTTCCTGCTAAGGGCACGTACATTGGTTGCAGTTTGTCCCCAGCCCAAGTTGGAGTTGTGTGGGTGGCAGCCAGTTGAGGTGTCTCTCTCATGTCGATGTTTCTCTCTCTCTTCTTCCCTCTCTCCCCCTGCTCTATCTGAAGATAAATACAAAAATGTCCTAGGGTGAGGATTAAAAAAATAATAATACGGAGTCCAAAGTACAGTTTGTGAATCGAAACAACTGGCACTAGTTCCAACAAAGTCAAGTATTTGCTAAGTAACCTTGGAAAACCCATTTAATCTTTGAGCATCAGTTTTCTCATCTGAAAAATAGAGATAATGGCTCTTTCCACCATGTGAGGATAGAGTCAGAAGATGACTGTCCACAATATGGAAGAGGGGGCTCTCATCAGAACCCAATAATGCTGACATCCTGATCTCCACAGCCAAAATGAGGAGACAAAGAAACAGGTCCCAAATGAAAGAACAGAACAAAACCCAAGAAAAGAACTAAGCGAAATGGAGATAAGCAACCTAACAGATGCTGAGTTCAAAATACTGCTTATAAGGATGCTCAATGAACTCAGTGAGAACCTCAGTGAACTTAGTGAGGGCCTCAAGAGCATAAAAAAGGACCAGTCAGAAATGATGCATGCACAGTCAGAAATGAAGGAGGCATTAACTGAAATAAAGAATAATTTACACAGATTCAATAGTAGAGTACGTAAATCCAAGAAGCAAACCATCGATTTGGAATATAAGGAAGCAAAAACACCCAATCAGAACAGCAAAAAGAAAAAAGAATCCAAAAAAATGAGGATAGTGTAAGGAACCTCTGGGACAACTTCAAACATGCCAACATTTGCATCTTGGGGGTACCAGAAGGAGAAGAGCGAGAACAAGAAATTGAAAACCTGTTTGAAACAATAATGGCAGGAAACTTCCCTGACTTGGTGAAGGAAACAGACATACAAGTCCTGGAAGCACAGAGTCCCAAACAAGATGAACCCCAAGAGGCTCACACCGAGACACAGCATCATCAAAATACAAAAGGTTCAAGACATGGAGTGAATCTTAAAAGCAGCAAGAGAAAGGCAGCTAGTTACCTACAAGGGAGTTCCCATAAGGCTGTCAGCTGATTTCTTAAAAGAAACTTTGCAGGCCAGAAGGGAGTGGCAAGAAATATTCAGAGTGATGGAAAGCAAGAACCTACAACCAAGATTACTCTATCCTGCAAAGCTGTCATTTACAATCGACGGCCATATAAAGAGTTTCCCAGACAAAAAAAAGTTAAAGGAGTTCATCACCACCAAACCGTTATTATATGAAATGTTGAAGGGTCTTTTTGAAGAAAAAGATAAAATATATGAACAAACAAAATGGCAATGAATACATATCTATCAACAATGGAATCTACAAACAAAATGAACAGGTAGAGCAGAAACATTCTCATAGATACAGAGAACATTTTGTTGGTTGCCAGATGGGAGGGGGGTTGGGGGAATGGGTGAAAAAGGTGAGGGGATTGAGAAGTACAAATTCATTGCTAAACTGACAAACCTCAAAGGGAAAGGGGTTGGGGGGTGGGAAGAACTTATATGCATAACCAATGGACACAGACAATAGTGTGGGAAAAGGCAGGAGGGGGGCAGGAGTGGGGAGGAGGAGGTCAATGGGGGAAAAACGAGGAACATCTGTAATACATTCTACATTCAACAATAAAGATTAAAAAAAAAAAGACTTCCAGCCTCCAGAACAGAAGGATCAGACCATCAGATGCATTCATCCAAGAAAGGATTGTCACCAAGAGGCCCTCCACAGGGAGTTCATCTTGCATAATAAAGCTTTGTAGGTTTTTTGCATAATAAATCTAAAAATACATAGCTTAGTCTGGACAGTGTGGCTAAGTGGTTGAGCATCAACCCATGCACCAAGAGGTCCCCTGGTTCGATTCCCAGTCAGGACACATGCCCAGGTTATGGGCCCAATCCCCACTGGGGGGCATGCAGGATGCAGCCAGTCGATGTTCTCTCTCATTGATGTTTCTATCTCTCTCTCTCCCCCTGCCTCTCTCTCTAAAATCAATAAAGGGAAAATAATAATAATAATAATACATAGCTTAGCCAGTCCAGTGTGGTTCGTGGATTGAGCATCATCCCATGGACTGAGAGGCCCCAGTTCGATTCCTGGTCAGGGCACATGCCCAGGTTTCTGGCTCGATCCTGGGTAGATGGCGTGCAGGAGGCAGCCGATCAATGTTTCTCTCTGACACTGATATTTCTATCTCTCTTTCCCTTCCTCTCTCTCTCTTAAAAAAAAAAAAATCAATAGAAACATATTTAAAAAAATAAAATACAGTCCTAGCAAGTTTGGCTCAGCGGTTAAAGCATCGGCCAGAGGACCGATGTTTGATTCGGTCCTGGGTTTCATTCCAGTCAAAGGCACGTACCTTGGTTGCAGTTTGTTGCCAACCCTGGTCAGGGTCCTGCAGGAGGCAGCCAGTCAATGTGTCTCTCTCAAGTCAAAGTTTCTCTCTGTCTCTCTCCCCTCCTTGTCCCCACTCTGTCTAAAGATAAATGGAAAAAGAGTATCCTTGGGTGAGGATTAAAAAGAAAAATACGTAGCTTATAGCAAAAGCACATGTAAAAAGGAATTATTTCCCTAAAAATTATTTCCAAGATCTAGATGGGTTCCCAGATCTCCACTATCCAGTAGTTATTAGCCATTGACACTGCCCTAAGATGCCTAAAATAAAATTTTAAATTAAGATAGAGTGACTTTACACTTTGGCCAGGTAATTCAGTTGCTTAGAGTGTCATCCAGATATGCCAGGTTTTGGGTTCAATCCCTGGTCAGGTCACATACAAGAAATAACCAATGAATGCATAAACAAATGGAACAACAAATCAATGTTGTTGTTCTCTCTCTATCTCAAATAAATCAAGAAAAAATGAAAAATAGAGATAATTTATCCTCACAGTGATGCTATAAAGATCAAATAAAATATGGATAAAGAAGAACATAAAATGTTATACATACCTTAACCATTAATTATCCAAGGGATAAACTTATTAATACACTTACAGAATAACATACCCCGAGAAACACAGATGAAATGTTAAACCTCTGTAACTAAGTTTACCATTAGATGACTGAGTACCTCTGAGGTTTACAGTGCCCTAAAATATTTTCAAGGGAAAGAGCAGAATATGGGATGAAAGTAGAAAGGAAATGCTCTTTCTTTGGGAGGAGGTTGGAAACAGAAGAAAGGGTGCTAGGAGAAGTTAAAGTTGTTTAGGAAGGGAAGAGAAAGAGAAAACAGAAAAAAAAACCCTAAAAATGCTTTAAAATAGTCTATAAGGAACAAAATAAGAAAACAGCATAAAGATGAGACTACATAAGGGGCTACTGGGAAGAAACTGTGTATGAAAACAGTGCATATCTCATGCACTGTGGGTAAAAGCGGTAGTCTCTAGAAGAGTAATTTGGCCCGGCCTATCAAAATTACAACTCCATTTCTAAAATTTATCCTACAGCTTGTGTTTGTGCATGTGGTAAAAGTTATACGAACAAGATTACTCACTGCTCTATAATGGCCAACAGATTCGAAGAAATCTAAATGCCCATCAATAATGACTAATTTCATACATTACACCAAAAAAAACTGGACTACTATGCTGATGCAAAGACACACAACACTGACTCTTAACCCTGATATATATTAAGATTAAATAGCAAAATGTACAGTATGCTGCATTTATGTTAAAAAAAAGGAATATATAAGCAAAATTGTTGTACATACATAGAAGACGTCTAGAGAGATAACTTAGCAAAATGGCACCATTAGTTGCCTCTGTGGAAAAGTGGGGAGCTGGGGCCAAGGATGAGGCACTTGTCAATGTATCTTTTTATTCCCTTTTCGGTGTTGGGCATGTAAATGTATTATCTAGTTAAAGATTTTTTTTTAAGAAAATTGTTTCGGCATCCTGGCTCCAAACTGTCACACTTAAGGGGAGCGGGGACAGGAAAGAGGATCCAGGTGACCAAACATCGCCAGGCGGGGTAAGTTTTCGGGGCCTGCAAGGCCAAGCAGGTTGCGAGACTTCTTCAAGACCCGAGAGCTGAATCACAATGTCGGTCAGGGGAGAGGAACACAGAACTCGGGGCGGGATGAGACAGAGAGAGAGAGAGGGCTGGCAGCTTCACCCGGCCGCAGCCCCCGATCAAATCACTAGCGGCACAAAGGGGCGCGAGTACCCAGCGCCGGACGGGACTCCAGCCTCCCCTCCAGGGCCCAGCCCGGTCCTAACCCCGGCCCGGAGCTCCTGCCTGTGGCACCTGACCTCGGATAGGCTTGTCGTCCTTCTCCTCCTCTTTGGTTTTCCGCTGATCCGCACCGAGGTAATCCGGCATTTTAGACGATTCAACTGCCTGAGGTGCGTAGAAATTACACAGCACCTTCCTCGCTTCCGGTGGTGCCTCCCTTTTTCTTTCTCCCCGGAAGTAGAGCGGGCTCCGCGGACACTTTACTCGGCGCACCGGAGGCGGAAGAGAGGCCTGGGAGACGCCCGCTGGCGTCGGGGTCGCGGTTCTGGGCAGCAGGAAGAAGTCCCGTTAGAAGAGAACGTTGTTCTGCCCTGGTCTTCACCGTGCCGAGCTCCCCTGAGCAACAGGTTTCAAGACCAACCCTGGCTCAGTCGCCGAGTTTAAATCCTAATTTAGTTATTTACTGTGTTTGGGCAGCTTCTTTACATACGCTTTAATTATCCCTTTACTTCACAGTATGGCGGGAACTTTAAATAACTTTTAATGTTTAAGTAACAATATATTAGGTATGCAATGATAGTGGCTAGATCTACAAGTAGAGTGAAGGTAAATAAGAGTTGTTCGCTAATTTGAGCTAATTTGGGATTAGGGGGTAAATGGTTTCAGTTTTTGAGCCTGCTAATAAAACAGGGTGGTACCGACCTCAGATACCAGGAAGTCGGGGAAGAGAGCAGGTTTTGAAAGAAATTAGTTTGGGAGATGAGAAAGGGAAGAGAACGATTGGGAGACAATTGTAGAACTTAGAAATTTAAAAAAAAGTTCTGGCCCTTTTGACCATTAGAGGACACAAAGTAAAAAATAGTGTACAGGATAGGAAAAATTATTACAAGTCATATGTGTGATAATGGTTAACATCCAGAATATGTAATGGACTGCAACTCAACAAGAAAGCAAACAACTGGACCTTAAAAATGGGGAATGAGCTTGAACAGACATGTCTCCAGAGAAGATAATATAAATGCCCAACAAGCACATGAAAAGATGCCCAACATCACTAGCAATTGGGGAAAAAATCAAAACCATGATAAACCACCTCATACCCATTAGAATGGTGGCAATAAAAATGAGAAAGAAAGGTATTGGTGAGGAAGTGGAGAAAATGGGAACTTTGTACAGTTTGTGGGAAAGTAAAATGGTGTAACTGCTATGGAAAACAGTATGTCAGTTCCTCAAAAAATTAAAAATAGAACTGCCATATTATAATCCAGCAATTCCCGTTCTGTAAATATACTCAAAAGAATTGAAAGCAGCCCTGGCCGGTTTGGCTCAGCGGTTAGAGCGTCCACCTGCGGTCCGGAGAGACCCGGGTTCGGTTCCCGCTAAGGGCATGTACCTCGGTTGCAGTTTGTCCCCGGCCCTGGTTGGTCGTGCGGGTGGCAGCCACTCGATGTGTCCCTTTCACGTTGATGTTTCTCTCTCTCTTTCTTCCACTCCCTCCCACTCTATCTGTACAAAAAATGGAAAAATGTCCTCGGATGAGGATAAAAAAAAAAAAAAAAGAGTTGAAAGCAGAATCTCCAAGACATATTTTAATTTCCTGTTCATAGAAGCTTTTTATTCAAAATATCCAAAAAGTGAAAGCAACCCATAACAGATGAATGGGTGAATAAAATATACATACAAAGGAATATTATTCCAATACATACTACAATTGTAAGGACATTGGGCTAAGTGAACAAATCAGTCACAAAATGACAAATATTGTATGATTCCACTTATATGAGGTACCCAGAGTCGTCAAATTCATAGAGCAGAAAGTAGAATGGTGGTTGGGCAGAGTAGGGGAAATGGAAATGGGGAGTTGTTTAATGGGTATGGAGTCAGTTTTGCAGATTAAAAGAGTTCTGGAGATTGTACAATACAGTTCATGTATTTAACATTACTAAAACTTACACTTAAAATGGTTAAGATACTAATTTTTTGTTACATGCATTTTACCACACTTAAAAAAAAGGGACCTGTCATGACCTTAGAGGTGATGGTGAGAATGGATGGGGGAGGTGGGAGAAAAAAATTAATATTAAGTTTATATATATTTATAGAACTAATATAAGTAATAAAAATATTAAGAAAATAGAGTCAGGTTACTTTGAGACTTAGAGCCTGTTTTAACAGTGGTTGCATTAATAGGAAGAAGATTAGGGGAGATGATTAGCTTAGTTTTTGAAATGTCAGTTTTGAAAAGACAATTTTGTCATGCAATAAAATTCAATGTATTTAACAATGAAAATGCAATTCGCAGAGAATAATGTGCTAATTTCTGGTGCTTTTCCCCAAAGATGGGCACATCACGTCTTCTATTTTGCCCAACCTATTCCAGGTTAAAGGGGTGAATCTTCACCCACTGGTCTCCTTTTGCTAGTTCTTCTGACCTCAGTTCAAGAAGGAATCATATAGTATGAGTGCAATTGATTTTATTATACATTAAAAAAATTAACTTCCAGAGTTCGGTAATTGGGGAACTCTTGTCCAAATGTTATGAGGATTAAACTAGACAATGCAAGTAAATTACTTAGTAACAACACAAAAAATGTTAGCTGCTATTATTATTTAGGTACACACAAATGCATTACAGGTATATGTACAGAATTCTCTATGGTTGTATGGGCTAGAATCATTTTCAATAGAAACATCTTTTCAATTTTGATTATGCAAGTAGAGCTCCTGGGAAAAATCAGTGGTTAGGTTTATACTAATATAAGTAGGAGTAACTTTAAAAGTAAAAAGACTATAGTAAAAACAGCTTTACAAAATTATGCTCTACGTATTGCGCTGCACCTGGACGAGGAAAATTCGCATTTTTACGAGGGAACTGATGAGGCTAGGAATCTTTCATTCCTGAGCCTTGTAACCCACCCGGAACTGAGTCGGTGAAGAACTAGGCTGCCGCACACGTTGGCTGGTTTGAGGGTGGAATGGGCCCCACAGCGCAGAAGATCCAACCCGGAAGCAGTTGGGTCCAACTGATTGTCTCCAGGCGCCGGTTCCTGGGCGTCGTAGAGCCAAGGCGCGAGGCTCGGACCGGGAGGTAGAGCTGTGAAATCTAAGCGCGCTCCGGCCGGGACGCCAACGCTGTGCCCTCGGGGCTGGCCTCGGCGCCATCATGCTGCTCCTGCCGAGCGCTGCGGAGGGCCAGGGCACCGCCATCTCCCACGCTCTGACCTCTGGTACGTGTCCGCTCAACCCCGGCTCCGTCGCGCCGCAGCCGCCCCTGCCTCAGTCCTCCACTTCCGCGACCTCGAAATCTCTCAACCCTTGCCCTTGGCAACTGGCTCCCGGCCGTGTGGGGCCGTGGCGGGTGCCTTGTTGCCCTCAGCTGTACAGTAACCCTTCCCCAGACTGGGGAGGAGGGGGCGTCATTTTTCTGCCCCTACAGTATTCTCCCCCTCTCGCGGCCGCTGACTCATGGATTGGGCCGAGCAGCCCGGGACCGAACCCTCCGGTACCCCGATGCCTGCTGCGAGCTCCCCAGTGCCCGAGGTCGTACCACAGCCTTGTGGCTGGTGCTCTACACCTTTCTCCCTCTCCCCGTTTGCCCCGGCTTTGTTTTTAAATGCCGTGACTCAGATCCTGATCCTCATGCTCAGTACAAAAAGACCATTGCCTAGGCTGCTGGTAAGATCCGCGTGGAAAGACTTTTAAAGACAGTCATGAAGTGAAACTTGCCCTGCTGCTGTAGGTTCATAGATTTACAGCCCAGGACAGTCGTGGATATCGTAAACTTAAACAGTGTCCAGTCTCAGTGATCTACATGAATTATCAATGCCGCTTATATAGACCCTTGTTGAATGTGATTTTGAACATATCATGGCATTTGTGCTCCTAGAGGTCTCTATGCATATTCTTAAAACTAGAGGGCAAGGCTTGAAAGGTAATGCTCTTAAAAGTCGCACTCACGCCCTGGCCAGTGTGGCTCAGATGGTTGGAGCCTCCTCTGGTACACCAAGAGGTTGCAGGTTCAATTCCGGGTCAGAGCACACTGTGGATTCCATGCCTGCTTGGGGCGAGTAAAAGGCAACCGACAGCTGTTTCTCTCTTCTCTGTCCCTCTCCCCTTCTCTCCCTCCCTCTCTTCCTTCCCTCCCCTCTTTCTAAAATCAATAAGCATGTCCTTGGCTGAGGACCTGAAAAACAAACAAACATATATACCATAGTATGAAAAATAAAAAAGTCACACTCACACTACACAGGTAATACTTATTGAACATAATGTTTGAATACTCTCCTGTGTATAGTAGAGGAAATAATAATTTCCCAAGCTAATTATTTTTAGAAAATTGTGGCCCTAGGTACAAGGGAACGCTTACATCTGAGTTATTGATAACTGAACAAAGTACACTTTTTGTTTTCCTATGGAATATGAAATGAAAATTAAGATGTTAACTTTTTGCCCTGACCTAAATTACATTTTTTGAAATGTTAATATATAGATGTACAGTGATTTACCCTCCTCAAGAATAATGATAAAGCCTTACTTCTATACAAGTTTGAGATTTTTCAAAGTGCTTTCACAGTTTGTCATTTAATCTTCCAAGGAACCATATAAGATAGATAATTTGCTCCCATTTTGAGTTGAAGACATCTCTGACTCATTTCACGTAGCCAATAAGGGTCAGACATAGACTTAAAATCCAGTGCTGAGTACAGATCCAGAGCTTGTTCCACTGTAGCGCAATTGTGTTATTAAGTCCCTGCTAGCTGCTGGAAAAGTGTCTTTTAGAACAAATCACTCCTAGTGATTTCTTAGTTTTTAAAAGCTATTTGAATTCAAGGTTTCAATAATTAAGATATTTTTAGTTGTTTTCAGAGGGTTTTTTTGTTTGTTTTTGATGAGACTAACTTTATGAATATCATTATTTATTGCTTTATTACAATCATTGGTTTAAAAGTAAAACAGTTTGCAACATTTCTGCCTGTTCTCACCTTCTTTTCATATCCCTAGAAAAGTATTGATTTGTTGGTGACATTGATGAATGTTTTGTTTTCTCAGCTAATGGGAAGAGGTTGATTGAATACTCTGTAAATACTAGGAAATGATCATTTATTGCTAACCCTCATGTTAACTGGATTATTGCAGCTATTTGCTTAGTTGATGGTTTTAAAATTATATTCTGATGCTATCACTGTTTCGATCTTATTTGTCACCTTGAAAGAGATTT